CTTGTACTATTTGAAACATATTATCAGTTTGGGTATTGCAATAATATCACAGTGACAAATCACAACCACATTCAAATAGCTATATAATCACTTTAATTCCATATTCATCACAATCCTTAGTTTTAAGAGAATAGGAAATATCCTTCAAAATTACAAAAAATACCTGATTCTCTGTGAAGCCACACACTTAACCTTTGCTGTTTTGAGACAGGGTCTATAACCCAGCGTGGTACTGAGCTCCCTATAAAGCTGAGGAGGACCTTGAACTTCTGATCCTCCAACCCCTACTTCCCAGCGCTGTAGGATTATAGGTGTATACCACCACACTGTTCATGAAGTACTAGGGGTCAAATCTGGGACCTTGTGGATGCTAGGGAACCACTACCAACTCGGCTGCATTCCCAGCCCCTCAGACTTTTTTAAAGAAAATTTTAGCTTAGTTTTGTGGTAACATCCGTGTATTGCTGTTGCTTTTCATCTCTCTCTGACTGGCCTTGAGTTATTCAGAAGAGGCATATCTTACAGCTTTTACACACAGTGCTTACCAATCATAAAATCAGGGAACATCCAGGCAAAGATATGCAAATATAGGGTGTATCAAGGGAATTTTTATTTTGAGGTTTTTTTAGTGTGTCAAATAAACTTATTGACTAACTGAAAGTACTGTAAATATTTTTTGCTGTTCATTTTAATGTAATGATTCAAGTCGGATTTCTAAACCACTTAAGAGTTCAAGTTTCTTTATCTATAAAAATCTGATCCGATACACACATGTGCACACAGACACACAACATATAAAACAGGAGGAAAGGAAGAGTGTGTGTAGCCTGGTTGGAGTGCTTTCCTAAGTACACAATGCCCTGATTTTGTTCTCTAGCCTGGTGGCACATGATACCAGCACTTGAGAAATAGAGGGAAGAAACCAAAAGTTCAAGGTCATCTTCATCTTCCAAGAGAGTTTGAGGGCAATCCAAAGTACAAGAGACCCAGTCTCCTAGGAGTGAGATGCCATGGTGGGTTACAGCACTTGCTGCTAAACATGACAACCTTAGTTCGAGCCCAGAACCTTTATGGTAGAGTGACAGAATCAACTCTTGCTGGTTGTCACTGACCTCCATATGTACAGCATGGCACATGCATACCTGAACATACACATATACACTAAATAAATAAATAATGAATGTTTTTAAGAAAGACGTAATAGGTTTTTATGGAATTTACTGAGAGAACTGTGTTGTGCATCTAAAATGGTCACTAACCCATAGGGCATTTCTAATTGTTTGAGAGATAAAAACATGTAAAAGCAAATATAATTTTAATATTTAAGTTAAATTTTAAGTAAATATTGAAATAGGAGCCAAATGCTAAGGCACATAACAGCTGAAGAACTGAAAGTAATGGTGACAGACTAGGAATCTGCTCTTTCTGATCCTTTTAGCATAATTATATGAAAACTTCAAAAATTAACATGTGTGAGCTAAACTAGGAGTGCTTACCAAAAGAGGAGCCTTTTTGAGCCTGTGTAGTGGCACATGCCTGTAATCCCAGCACTCACAGAGGCAGAGGCAGACGGATCTCTGTGAGTTTGAGGCCAGCCTGGTCTGCAAAGTGAGTCCAGGACAGCCAAGGCTACACAGAGAAACCCTGTCTCATTAAAAAAAAAAAAAAAGTCTTTTGCATGAACTCAGTGAGCAAGCACGCTAAAAGAACAGATATTTTTTAATCAGGAGGGCTAAAAAGACTTAGGTTGTCCTTCTTTCTTGTGGAGTTCCCACTAGAAAGAGTAAGAGATAGCAATAAGATGAAAGTCCAATGTCAAGGCCAACAACTCTACAGTAGCAGAGAGCTGGTACTCAAAGTAGAACTACCGACTCACAGATGTTAGCCTGGAAGATGCTGTCCCTTCGTTTTCCTCGTTCTTTTTTTTTTTGTTGTTTTGCTTTTTGAGACAGTACCTCTTTATAGCCTAGGCTGGCCTCACAGTATCTACATAGCTGAGGCTGCCTCCTAACTTCTGACCTTCTACTTTCAACTCCCAAGTGGTACCTTGCTCCTTCATTCTGTAGTAAATAATGACACGCTCATTTTTTTTCCCATTCTTTTTCTGGTTTTTATTTTCCTGGACACCCAGAAAGTAAACTGACTAGAAAACACACACACACACAGAGAAGGAATGTGATGTTCTCTCCTTAGGAAATAAACAAGATTTACTCTTGTTTTCTGATTGTTTCAGCAGTGAAAGGACGATGGATCTAGTTCTGGAAATGTGCAATACCAATTCTATCCACTGGTGTGGGATTTCGGGAAGACAGCTGGGAAAGCTACATCCAAGCTCCTCGCTCTGCCTGGCCCTTACTCTCCTGTCTTCAGTACAGGGGCTCCAAGTACGTTCTCTTTTCTGTTATTTCAGCAGGGTGGGCTAAATTATCATTTCTGATAGCCATATTTTGTCTGGTAACTATCTCTCAGTGAAAACTGTGGTGCATTTCTCTCTCTCTCTCTAGAGTGTCTCTGGCTTAAGACTCACTGACACATTCTTAAAGAGAACGTACGAATATGATGACATCGCCCAAGTCTGCGTGGTCTCGTCAGCTGTGGAAGTAGAAGCCTAAAGAAAATTCCAAATGTTAAACTTCATGTTTAATCACAGAAATGCTCTCTGTATTTTGTCAGCTTTGTGCAACAATCAGTAGCAAAAATAAGTATATGTTATTTAAATTTGTTTCCTGTAAAACAACTAAATATTAAATTTTGTTGTAAAAACACTAGTTTTATCTTGTGAATTATACTATAAATGAACAGAACATTTTCAAATACATATATTCTATATGTATCTCATGTCCTTTAAGATAACTGTTGGTTTTTTGTTTTCAACAAGCTCATCCTTGAGGCTTTTGTAATGAGAATTCTGGAATTTTCATTTCTTTAAAAAACACAGAAGTATTATAAGAATATGTTTTCATTTTAATCCCAGGTGTGGGGATATGGGGCTGCTTTGCAGCAGCTGACTATGCTTTGCTTAGTGCTCTAGCAGAGGCATGGTTTTGCCAGCTGCAGATAGTTTCTGTGATTGTGTGACAACATTTGGAATTCTGGGAACTTTTCAGAGGGTATATAAATGCTTGGGCCCCAATAGGTGGTGATTGGTCATTGTTCAGTGATTTGTTTGCAGTTTGTAGTCATACTCAAAGAAGAAAGAAATTAGATTCAGGGATCTCTTTCTCTCTCCCGTGTATCCTTTTTTCTCTCCTATCTAGTGATAGGGGTTCAAACTGGGGTAGAATAAATGGTGGGAAAAAGAAGAACCCACAAAGTAGCAAAGATCAGCTACAAGCATCTAAAAAGCAGTTAGCAAACCTTTTTTGTAAAGGGGCAGATATCAGATGTCTTAGGCTCTGTGGGCAAATGAATTCGGCCATCTGAGTACACTAGCAGATGTGTGCATGTTTGATAGCACCTGCTGGCTAGGGACCCTGGGCTACAGTTTACTAAGTCATACTTTGTTTTAGGACTTTAGAGTTTTCATAATACTTTGTACAGAAACTTGGTTAAACTGATCATAGTCAACTACAGTCTCTTTCCCAGGTGCTTAGCCAACAGAAAAAAAGGCTCCCCTTCCTTAACATGATGATGACGATGATGATGATTTTATTTCCTAACACACAGGATAAACATTTTTAGTTGTTTTCAAAATTGTTATCTGGGTGTATGTCTGATAGTGTACACATCCAACACACATTAACAGACACTCAAGCAGACCAGGAGTGGTTGACTCACTTAACAATGTTAATAATTGTATAGTTTTAACTTAAATGTGAGGTTTTCCCCCACTGAACAATAAAGGCTTAATTTTCATAATAGGCATTTAAATGATTCCAACTTCATATCTAATTTTTCACTCTTTATCATGTACTAATATGAAAATTTTTGTCTATGTAATCACACCCATTCATGTAAGGAACAAATTAACAGGAAAATTAAGGGTTTAAAGCCGGTCATGGTGGCTTGCGGGAGGTGGATCTCTCTGAGTTCAAGTACAGCCTGGTCTATGGATTGAGTTCCAGGACAGCCAGGGCTGTATTACACAGAGAAACACTGTCTTGAAAACAAAAACAAAGAAGGAAGGAAGAGAGAGAGGAAGAAAGGAAAGAAAATTACGGCTTTAAACAGCTTTGCAATAGGAATGTAACAAAATGTTTCCCTATATTGTCATAAAACAAAAATCCATGCTGTTAAATAAATCCTATTCTATTTTGGCGAATTGAAAATCCCGAGTGTATATTTAAAACATAACTGTTTTACATGTGAAGAGTGCAATAAGTCAAACACAAGACCTTTTTTCTTAAATGCATAATTATTTATTGCCATGACAAATTGTTTGGTCCAGAATGAAAGGAATATTCAGAACGTTTGTCCCTCATGTTAGTCATGACTGATGAATGTCTGTGCAAAACAAAACGCAAGCAGCAAGAACTGAAGTCTGTTCTGTTAGGATGACAAAGACTGGCCAAGTTGGTCTTTATCAGCATCCTTTCATGACTAAACCATTGTTTCATTCTGTCAGAATTTAAAACTTACTCTGCTATATACTTTTAATTACAAAGTCTCTTCTGTGTATAAACAACATAGGTACATACTAGTCATACTTTAAATAAAGGTTAGATAATGCCATCTTATAAAGGATTTGTGTCAACTATTATAAAAACTAGATTGGTGATTTGATACAGTAAATGAAAATTCCATTTCCATAAAAAGGACATGTTCAGTTTTGCATAGCACAGTAACAGCTTCAGCTATTCCAATGAAATGGGGTCATGGAAGTCAAGCATCCCTTATTAGACTGTATGGAAGTATTCAGTGCCCTGTTTCTTAAGAGAAAATACACTTGCTAAGGCAAGGGGAAGAATACTGGGGAAATGTCTTAGAATTTTAAGACAGCTAGCACAATCAGACCACACAATAAAATTCTTGAAATAGCTTGCAGTGTGATGATTCCAATGTGATGGAGAGACCTGAATAGGAAGGAACTCCATGGAAGTGGAAAGCAACATCTGGCCGTCTGTTCGTTCCCAAAGAAACAAAACTAGGAAAGTGAAATGGAAGAATCACCAGTTATTGTGTTTCGTGTAAAAGAAGAGGTACCTTCAGCTAAGGGCATTAGCACATGAAGACTGTTCCAAAGCTGCTAGTGAGAGCTGTTTTTTAATTCTTACCAGGGTATTACTGCTCGAATGAGTTGGGGACTATTTCTTCCTCACCTGTTTTCTGAAAAAAAAAGAGTTGTGCAGCATGGATATTAGTCTCTCCTAAGACTTTGATAGGGTTGGCCACTGAAATCATCTGAACCTATCTTTTTTTTTTTTTTTTTTTTTTTTCTTGTAAAGTACTGAAATTTCTTAACAAGGACAGGCCTACTCAGGTTATCTAAGTCCTCACAAAGATTTGTTTCCCAGAGTTGTTAAATACAAAAATCTAGAGCAAGTCAGTTTTCTAATTGTCTTTTTTGTTTAAGCTGTTGTGTTTTCGATTGGGGTGTTTTTGTTATCACCATATCACTGTGTAGCCAGCAATGAGGTGGAATTCCTGGTCCTGCTTCTACCTCCCACGTGCGGGGACTCCAGGTGCACACTGCTATTCCAGTTCCATGCAGTGCAGGGAAGGGGTAACCCAGGGCTTCACGCATGCGAGGCAGGCGCGACCAACTGAACTATGCTCCCGGTCTCTCTACTTTTCCTTTGAATAGCCACAGGATCTTTTCAGTGTATCTGCTCTTGTTTCTACTTTTTTCTCTTTTAACACAGTGATGGGATGGAACCCATGATCTCACATACTAGGCAGCACTGTCAGCTTCATCTCTGATACTGTTAATTTGTATTTTCTGTTTCCTAGTCGGTACACTGAGGACTCACCAATTTTACTGAACTAAGCATATTCTAAGATTATTAACATATTCAATGTAGGATGACTGTTCTTCAGTTCAGTGCCAGCTCCACATTTTCTTTGATCATAATCACAGCCTTTGTGCAACCAGTCGGTACTTCTGTGTAAAAAACACGAGACCCTGAATGGAACAGCTTATGCACAGGGCCCTCGTATCTAGGACCTGTTCTCTACTGGAACTATTTCATGTCTGTACTATGCGAGCCTGGGCCGAGGTGCTTGCTGGCTACTTAAGGAGAGACCTCTAACCTCATGCTGTTCTAAAGTTGAGTTCTAACTGCATGGTGTGCTGCTTAAAATGGTGATCTAAACCAAATGACTATATGATCCTAGACCTGAATTTTTAATTAATTTCCCCCACTTGGTGGTTATAGTGAAATTACACAACCACTGTCTCACAAAAGGAAAAAAAAGGTTAGCTTTGAAACCTCAGGATACTGTTCACATAGACTGAGAACAGTTGTGGAAAGGCCCTACCACCTCATTAATTTTAAATTACTTTTTTTTCCACCTTTCCCTCATCACTTGTAAAACCATTACACACCAGCCCCATTTAACCAAAGTTTTGATTAATAAGCAAGTTCCTTTTGAAACTGGGCCTTTCTCATCCATCAATGAGCCTACAGTCATACCATTAGCCTCATGCCTTTCTTTCCACTAGCCAGATGCCAGATGCACGGTAATGCATCCAATTTAAAGTAAGATATTTGAAGTCTCTTGTTATAGTTAAATTGCAATAAATTAAAATTAAGCATAAGACTGGCATGCCAAGCCAAACTGCAGCAGAGGACTACACAAATGAGCAACGTTAGAGATGTTGTTTTATAGCCACCAAATGATGGTAAAGTAAAAAAAAAAAAAAAAAAAAAAAATCATTGTTGATGGGCACATAATTAAATTCTACTTAGAAAACCCATAATTTGGGGTCAAGTCAGTGGCTTTTTAAGATGTGAGTAGATACTGCCCTAGGTAAGTTTACCACCAACGAAACTGTGACGACTCAATGGAGCAGTTGTACCATGAAGGATTTCTAAGTATGTTTCATTATGTACTTAACTGGTCATGCGAACGCTAGCAGCACTAAGCTACAGACAAGGTTAGTTAAAAATCTATGCAGAAAACCTGAGCATACTACCTTTGCTTTCTGTACATTCACAGTATCTTCAAAGCATCGCTTTGAAGCATGGCTTCCTGCCAGTTCAGAAGACTCCCTGTCAGCAGACAAGCCGCCAGAGAGTACCGGTACCCGCAAGACATGGGTAAAACATGCCAAAGCTTCTCTCCTGGCGTGCAGCCACGCACATTTCTTCTAAATCAGCATGGGAACTCTTTGCACTTAGGCATCACCCCTCTTAAAAACCACTGTCTAGGGAAGCCTGCAGCTAAAAAACTTTCCAATAAATAGCCCTACTATTCAATAAATATCCTCTGTACTAAGTCTAATACACAATATGATAAAAGTTTTAAAATGGACGGGCCCTTGTCCAAGGCTTAGTACTTAACAAGGCTACTGATCATGTTTCCAAAGGAGTTGATATTATGTTCATGTCTGCTTGTGATAAACTATTATCTAAACAGATGTTTTCTCTCAGGTTTATACAAGAGACTTTCCTCCATTATTTCCAGGCATTGTATAGGGTGTGGTTTTGTTACTTTGTTTCTGGCTGTTGTCTACAAGTGTAGACGTCAGAGCCACAGAGCACTGTACTGGGGTCCGTCAGGAATGTTCTTCCGCGCTGCTGCTGAAGGGCCTGCTGCGGATGTGACTTCTCAGCTGCTGTATGAGTTCGGGGTTCTGCTGCTGTATCTGCTGAGCAAACTGCTGCCCCCTGCAGGAGAAAGGCAGAAAAGCTGGGGACACGGCAGTCGTAGACTGCTCACGCAGAATGAGCTGCAGATGCTGTGGGCTATCACAGGGACTTTCTCCTATCTATAAACGCAAGTCTTAGCGCCAGAACATTATCCACATTCCACGTATCACTATTCCTCATTACCGGTCAGAGAGTTCATGAGCGAGTGCGTGTGTGTCTGCTGGTGCACATGAGGGCAGGTGCTCGTGTGGAAGTCAGAGGACAACTGTTAGAGTTCCTTTGGTGCAGTTCACCATTTTTGTTTGTTTTAGGACATGGTTTATTTGCTGGCCAGAAAGCTGTAAGGCAGGCGAGGCTGGCTAGCAGGCCTGTATACCACAAGGCCCTGGGATCTTCCTGGCCCTACTTTCCCAGCACTGGAATTACAAGATGTGTCATCACTGCCAGTTTTTTTGTTGTTTGTGTTTTCAATTCCGTCCAGGGGCTAGAACTCATGTCTTCATGGTAGCAAGGCAAACTCTACCAACTAAGCCACCTCTCTAGCTCAGTACACAGTTCTTTTTGGGAAACAAAAACATACTTCGATTGTCAGCCTTCTGGTGAGGATCACAAGAAGAAACAAAATGCCAAACTAAGTAAGATAAGAGTTCCTGAACTGGATGCACTCTACTTGTTCACTATTTAACCGAAGGACCAACAAGTGTGCCCCTCTGCAGTGTGTCCTGAAACACGACGTTCTTTGTGCCAAGTCCTCCTGGTTTGTCAGGTCAAAACAACTCCCGATAGAAGTCACTGGAAAGCGAATGTTTTTAAAAACAAAGTTTTAACATAGGCCTGGGAGTGTAGCTCAATGACAGAACTTCTTGCAAAGGTTTATGTTTGTGCTCGTGTCTGTGTGTCTGTGTCTATCCACATGGATGTGCAGACACACGCTTAGGGCAGAAGGGATGTCAGGCATCCTCCTCTGTTACTCCCTGTCTTGCCCCGAACCTGGAACATGCATTTTCTTAGGTAAGCTGGAAGCCGGCAAGCCCGAGTGATCCTCCCGTCTCCGCCCCTTTGGAGCTGGAGTTAGCGGTGGGTGTGGGATGCCTAGGTCCTCGAGTGGGAGGTAAGATTACTCCTCTTACTATTGTGCACCAAGTGCTCTTAACCTCTGAGCCATCTCGCTAGAGACACAGGACACCTTCCCAGCAAACCAAAGGCTCTGGATTCAATCCCAGCACTTCATTAAACACATTCCTTCCCAATTTTGAAACAGGATGGTAGGGCATGTCTATAATTCCAGCACTTGGGAGGAACTAGCAAGAAGATCAAGAGTTCAAGACCACCCTCAGCTACATAGTGAAATCAAGGTCAGCATGATCTTCATAAGACCCATCCATCTCAGAAAAATGAAGCATTTAGATAGTTTGTACAAGCCATCATTGAGGTTCCTTGGGTCTGCTCACTTTTCTGAGTCCTGATGAAACCCCTGTTCTTTTGTTTTTGTCTCATGAAGCTGGTCAGGAATTACGCAGAATTTTTATGGAACTCTGGGCTTCCCTACAATTCTTTCTTTGAAGGCCCCCTTTCCACCATGTTGCCTATGGCATTGCTGCCATGTGGCTGACCTCCATGCTGGCTTAACTCAAACAGCATGCATTTGGAGGATATTTTTACCGGGATTGTTTGTTTGGATTTTTGTTCTTATTTTCCCTTCTCTTTTCCATTCTTTTCTGGGTAGCTGCTGAGAGTTATAGCTTGCCTGTCCTAGGTATTTAAACTGTAATAAAATGGCCCTTGAAATTAAAATAAATTTATTGCAAATTATTGAGTTTGTGACCTCAATCACATGCATTTGACATGAAAATCATGCCACGTAAGAATTGCTGTAAAAATTCAACATCCTAAGTGGTGACTGGTTTTGACCACATATTTGAAACTAGAACTGTGGCTTCCTTCAAACTTTGCAGTGGCAGTTTCAGACACTCAAAATGCAGTGTCTTTGACAATTCCAACAGTGATGTGCTCAAGTGTGTGGAGTCGGAGGAAGCGCTGCGGAGGCCTGAGTAACTTTCTAAGTGTTCCGAACATTAATAATGAATGCCACATGATTTTAAAACTCGCTTTACTCACTTATTTTGTGGTAGTAGGATTAAACCCAGGTGAGTACTCTACCAGCAAAGTAAACTGCATTACTGTGAAGTGATTTTAAGCCAGGCATGGGGGCTCATATTTGTAATCCCAGCTCACTCAGGAAGATCACCTTAACCTGGAAGCCAACCTGGGCCACATAGCAAGACTGTGTCTCAAAAAACCAGTGAGTTAAAAATATAGATCTTCACCTAATTTAGATATACTTTCAGTAGACATATGACCACTATTTAAATCCCAGAGTAAGCTTACAAAATTTTTTTAAATGTCTTGAATCTTCACTGGTAAAAGTAAAAGATTAATTGCTTTACATAGGTGATCTCAATGTGTGTGCAACAATAAGCAGATCATCTGGCCCTGCAGAGACTGCTATCCCAACCAAGGACCAGCATGGAGAGGACCTAAAACTCCTGCTCAGATGTAGCCTATAGACTCACTCTCCAAGAGGGTTCCCTAATAAGAGGAACAGGAGCTGTCTCTGGTATGAACTCAGTGGCAGGCTCTCTGATCACCTCCCCCTTGGGGGGTGGGGGGGAGGCAGTGCAGCCTTACCAGGCCCCAGAAGAAGACAATGCAGCCAGTCCTGATAGGCTAGGGTCAGAGAGAAAGGGAGGAAGACCTCCCTTATCAGTGGACTAGGGGAGGGCACAGGGGGAGAAAAAGGAGGGAGGGTAGGAATCGGAGGAGATAAGGGAAGGGGCCACAGCCAGAATACAAAGTAAATAAATTGTAATAAATAATTAACTTATAAATTTCATAAATTATAAATAATTTGTAAATAAATAAATAATTAAAATTAAAAAATTGGGAAAAAGGTATATAAGAAATAAACAGATCATTAATCCTTAGGGACCCTCTGAAAACATAGATGACAGTACTGATATCCCATGTGAGAAACTGAGGACCCTAATTCAATACAGAAAACAACAAAATTTAGCTGTAAGTCAAAAGACTGAGCTCTTCAGTGGGCGCACTGAGTCATCAGGAAGCTCCGACTTGTTCCTTAGCTCCTCCACCTACCAGCTATGGATGGAACCACGTGTCTCTGTCTTCCGAGTGCTGGAACGAAGGTGTGCGTTACCACACCAGGTTCTGCCTATTTTACTGCTAATAACTCTGTATGTGAAGATGCGATGGAGAGAGAGCAAAAGGTCTATGAACATGCATGGTTTTTCCAAAAGCTACGGCTGGCCACACAGTCCCCGTCTTCTGGATCCCTCCCCTTCACACTGAAATGTGGCTGCTATTTACCAGCCTCTCAGAGATTTAATATGGTTAAGTAGGCAAGTCATTTTAACAGGAAAAGATTTAAACCCCTTTGAAACAAACTGCAAGACATCAAATGCATGTTTTTGTTTCTGTTAAGTGACCATGTGCTCCTCTGTTTTTTGTCAGTTTGACCCAAAGAGGGAATGTTAGCTGAGGAGCAGCCTCTATCAGACCAGCCTGCAGATAAGTCTGTGGGACACTTTTCCGATTACTGATTAATGTGTGAGGGTCCAGCACACTGGAGGTGGTGGTACCCCTGGACAGGTGGTCCCTCACTCTATAAGAAAGCAAGCTGGGAGAACCACAAAGAGCAGGCCAGAAAGCAATGTTCCTCTACAGTCTCTGCTTCAGTACCCGCCTCCAGGTTCCTGCCTTGAGTTCCTGCTCTGACTTCCCTTCGTGGTGGACTATAAACTGTAAACTGGAAAAAAACAACCTTCCTCCCCAAGTTGCTGTGGTCATGTGGTCGCCATGTCTCATCAGTCTAATAGAAAGCAAACTTGGACAAACACTCACGCTTGGATAAGGCTAGACAGGTCCGTTAGGCCTCCAACTCCAGCAGCGGGTCCTCCAATGGCATTTGTCATCATTCCTGACATTCTACAGCAGTAAGAGACACCATAAAAATCAGCATATACTCTTCACAGGAAGGAAAAGCCAACCAAATATATCAGCATCATAGAAGGAGTTGGGTCAAATGTGTAAGTTGACCTTAAGTTCTAAGTGACCAGAATTTGCTGCATTTTTATCAATTATGAGATGATAAGCTCAAGTTTGGAGCCTAGCAATGAGAAGGGAAAGGTACAAGGAGCCCTTTATACTTACAGCTGTTGAACTTGAGGGTTCTGCATTAAACTTGCAGCCTATAATCAAAAGACAGTATTGCTTATTAAAATATAGCATTAATGCTTAAGATGTTACAAAGATGTTGTACGGGCAGAGGAAGGAAAGCTAATGATGTGCAGCCTAATGCTGGGCAGAGTTTTGCTGTGCTATACAAAGTAAACGGAAAGGTACAAAAGAGAACGTACTGTAGGAACTGGTAGCAAATGGAAAAATGGGGTAACAGACAAAAAAAAATTAATGTTAACAGAGGGCATTGCCACTACTGATCAGATCAATGGGAGAGAGAGAGAGAGGAGAGGGATTGGTGCCAAAGAGACGTATGTGACTGCCTGCTGTGGAGACCAGAACAGCCCTTTCTAGCAGCCCTTTCTAGCCCTTTCAAGCGGGCTAGAGATGAAGAAAGCCCTCCCCTCCCCATTTCCTTCCCAGAGCAACAACAGGCCAATAGTTCCTCAAAGCTCCATTTCTAATCACTGTCAGCCGGGTCCTTCTATTATTTATCTTCTTTATAATTTTTATCAGTTTCTATTACTTTTCATTATTTTGGCACTACTAAGGATTGAACCCAGGGCTTCTTGAACCTTGAACATATGCCCTAACACTGAGCTATATTCTCAGCCCTCACTTTATTTACATGTGTGTGTGTTTATGTACTGTAGCAGTACCAAATCAAACGTAGGGCCTCAAGAACGCTAGCCAAGTGTCCCGCCACTGAGGTCACCCACAACCCCACACAGGGCTCTATTTAATAGTCTAAGGTGCTGGTACGGTGGTGCACACCTGAAATCCCAGTATTCAAGGATGCAGATGCAGGCACAGCTCTGTGAGTTCAAGGCCAGCCTGGTCTACAAAGTGAGCCCAGGACAGCCAAGGCTACACAGAGAAACCCTGTCCCGAAAAACAAAACAAAACAAAACAAAAATTTAAAAATTAAAAACAAAACAAAACAAAAAATGGGCTGGAGAGATGGCTCAGAGGTTAAGAGCACTAGATGCTCTTTGAGAGGTCCTGAGTTCAATTCCCGGCCAGCACATGGTGGCTCACAACCATCTATAATAAGATCTGGTGCCCTCTTCTGACCTGCAGGCACACATGCAGGCAGAACACTGTATACATAATAAACAAATCTTTAAAAACAAAAACAAGAGTCAAAGGATGTGCTTTTAACCCTCACCTTTTGCAGCTCCTAACCGGTGTTGTCACACCTTATTTTGGTATGTAACAGCTTAGAGACTAAATTTAATCTGAAACTAAATTCCATCTTCCTATTCTGCTATAGTAACATAACCTGAGTCCTGGAAATGAGCAAGCCAGGTTTTAGAACATCACAAGACTTACCCAGTGGTGTGTAGTTGGTAAGAAGGCCAACCACATTGATAGAGAACTGTGTCTTTCGGGTGAACTAAGGACTTAAACATTCAAAAACAACATTTTTTTGAACAGAGGTGAATAGGAACTAATTCCTGCATTTCATGAGCAGAGCATATGGACAATGCTTATGTTTTTGTCTTGATACAAAGATCTTGCCATGTAGCCAAGGCTGGCCTCAAATTCCTGTATAGTCGAGGCTGACTTCAAACTCTCCATCTTCTTTCCCCAGGCTTCCAAGTACAGGGACTGTAGACATGCACTACCAAGCCAGGCAGAGGAATGTGTGTGTGCAGAGTATGCAGTCATTCAAGGGGCCCTGTAGACTCAAGAACCACCCTGTACGCACTAAACGCTGGACTGAATCATGTTTGTTTTCTAATGATCCCTGAGCCATTCTTGTTGGTTTGGAGAACGAAGGGTGGGACCTGGGGTGTTTTCTAGTTGTCTAGGATACATGCAGTCCCGGGGTTAGGCTCCAGCCCTGTGGAAACTGGATGCAGTTGTGCACGCCTGGAATCCCAGTGCTCAGGACGCAGAAAGAGCAAAACTTCAAGGTCACCTTCAGCCACACACCATGTGTGAGGCTAGTTAACACAAATCTGAGCCTGGGTTACATGAGAACCTGTTTTTAAGAACATAAACTCCTAAGACAGAAAACAAGGCCAACACTAATAAGGGGTAAGCTTGGGTAATCATTTTAACCTAAATCCTCAGACATCAATTGATAGATATATCTTCTTACGACCAGTTTTATGTGACATTGGGGTTTTAGACTAGACTTATTTATTTGCTGACTTGTTTCCTTATTTAGAGCACGTGTATGCACAGACACGTGCCACAGTGCTTGTGTGGAGGTTAAAAAGCAACTTGTGGGAGTCAGTTCTTTTGCTCACCATGTGTGACCTCAGATCACCAAGTCTGTGGAACAAGCCACATTACCTGCTAAGCCATTTCACCAGCCCAAGAAAGTGCATTTTAAGGATTTTTCTTTTCTTTTGTTTTGTTTTAATCATGGGGAAGGGAGGTATGTGCAGGTACCTGCAGAGTCAAAAGAAAAAAAAAAGTCATAGGATGCCCTGGAGCTGATTTACAGGTAGTTGTGAGCCTGAGTGGTAGGCCTGGGTCCTCTGAAAGAGCTGTACATCTTCATAACCGCAGAGTCTTGGAGTCTAATTTTTTTTCATTCTAGGATGTCATCTTCCTGGGCATAAGCCAACATTGGTAACCACTGGTCCTAGAGATCCCTGCTAACTGTAGACAGACTCACTCTACAAAGTGACAAGATGAACCGCGTGGGAATGGCAACGCAGCTGAGTTATTTCTAAGTGTTTGCAAAGCACAGAATGGCTACAAGTCGTGGATGAAAGCTCAGAGCCTGAAAAGGAAGGAAAGAGGCTCTACTGTAGGCACACTAATGGGATATACAGACATCTGAAACCCTGTGAGTCTCAGGAGGTGGGGAGGAAACAGCAGTGGTTTTTAAACTTTCATATATTTGCAAACTGGCAATCTAACGAAAAAAACACGAGTTTCGTCTTATAAAGTGTACACACACAAACACTGGCTTTTACATCCCTGTTTAAGAAGGCTATGGGCTTTCTAAAATCCACCCTGGTCTCCCTCGGAGGAAGGCGGGCAGGTTGAATCACGGCTGTCTCTGCCTCTGCCATAAACCCCTGCCATTCACCAGAAACTCCTGCATTTGTTTCTAAAAAAAATTTGAAGCCCGCACTCCCAGTTCCTTGAGAGACTGAGGCAGAAGAATCACTTGAGCCCAAGAGCTTTGGATCAACTCTGGCAACGGCTGGAAGATTTCATCTCCTTAAAAAGTATGGCAGGAACAGTTTGCAAATATATAGCAGACAACAGCCAGCAGATAAAAAAGAAAGTATACTCACCATGGTGATGAATGCTGGGTTATTTATCAAGCTGGCCATGTCAAAGCTCAGCCCAGTTCCTGTCTGTAAAAAAGTTAGCTCTGAGATTCATTCCAGCCACTATGCTATCAATCAACATGAATGACAGGATCTATTCCACAGACTTCACGGTGACAACTTACAGGACTAGATACCTCTCTTAACTTCTGTTCTGCTATTTTCAGATTTGACTTATAGGAGTCGTTTTCAGGATCTAGATCCAGGGCCTTCTGGTAGCTTGTAACCGCCTCTTCAAACTTATTCATGGCAGTGAGGGCCAGCCTTAGGAAACAGAACAGAGTTATGCTAATGAATAGCAGAGTATCATGGTGACAAATGCCTTAGTATTCAGTTCTAACCCAGACTACACTGAGTTCCTCCTTATATTATGGGTTAGAGAGATAGCACTAAATTCTCCTTAATTCTAAGACACTATAAGCCTGAGTCGTCTGTCTAATAACAAACTTGCTGTCCATACAGATCATAAACCTAAAGCTCAGAGATGAAACTGACCCTTCTATTTTTTAAAGACTGACATGTAAAGGAAGTCATTTGTTTTATGAATCTCTAGGCTGAGCTAAACAAAGATTTGTGCTAATAATCTTGTGATCATGGAAATCCATGATGCTGACGCCATTTTTGAAGGACTCGAATAAATCAGGCATGTCAAACCTTTTGGCCTAACAACACTGTCACCTACAGATGTGTTGGGCTGCGTTCATAGCTTTCCTGGGACACATGCAGCCCACAGATGTTGGGACATACCTGCATCTGAACACTATACTTCAAAGCATCCCACATTCTTTCTCTCTAATAGACCCTGAACAGTAATAGTTTCCCACTTTATTTTTACTGTTCCATCTCCTACAGCTTTAAAAAGTATGTATTATTCATTTATTTATTTATTATTGGGGGTAGATGGGTGACAGGGGACATGTGTGGAGGCCAGAGGTCAACTCTGTTGACTCCCTCTTTTCCTTCCACTGTAACATGGACTTGGGAGTTTTAACTAGGACTGTTAGGATTACATGGCAAATGCCTTTACCTGCTGACCCATCTCACTGGCCTCCAGTTTCTCATCTTTTAACTAAAAGTAAAGTGTTGCTATCAGATGACTCGTCCTAAACAGCACATTAGTTGTTAGTCAGACAAAATGAGAATCTAAACACAAACCTAAACATTATTAAATTTCAATGTTTATTTTTCCTACCTATAATTTACTTGCAAATCACATCAGAATTAAGCAATAATTAAGTAATTAAGTAAGTAATAATAATAATAAAGTAATAATAGTATGTATGAAAAGATAGTATTGAGTGTCCTGTTTATTCTAGGATTGTTTTTCATTTGTTTGTTTGTTTGTTTGTTTGTTTGGCTGGTTGGTAGGCTTTTCAAGACAAGGTTTCTCTGTGTAGCCTTGACTATAGTAGAATCACTTTGTAGACCAGGCTGGCCTCTAACTCCCTGAGTGCTCGAAACACAGGCATTCGTAACTGTGCCCAGTTTGGGATTGTTTTTTAAACTAATCTAATACTCTCTTTTCTAGATTACCTTACAGGCTTCTTATGTAGGTGGAAAAAGAAATTCTTACAACCCAACTAGTTTTCTATTAGTTTTCTATTGAAGGGTCCTCGGCAGAGTTCCCAATGAATCATCAATAAATATTGAAAGCCTAGTATGTATTAGGAACTATTTTAAATACTGAGTATTCCACAATTTTTTAAAAAAAGTTCTTAACTTTAAGAGAATCCCCTTCTACCCAGGAGGAGCACAGACAGCAAGCACACACACAGAATGGACAATATTAAGGAGAATGATGGCTGTGTTTACTCAAAAACGGCCACATGCAGGGGCTGGAGAGATTGCTTAGAGGTCAAAAGCACTGGCTGCTCTTCTAGAGTTCCTGAGTTCAGTTCCCAGCAACCACATGGCGGCTCTTAAACATCTATAATGAGAGCAGGTGCCCTCTTCTGGCATGCAGGCATACATGCATAATAAATAAATAAATCTTTTTTTAAAAGTAGCTGCATGTAGAAGACATGAATGACAAACTTGGGAAGACTGACCATCTACTCAGATGCAGCAGTAAACACAAAGGCCCTAAGATAGATGCAGGTATAGTATGCTTAAAGTATAGGACAATGGCAGAGAGAGCACCTTGCTATGCTGGATCATACCAAACCTGTTTATAGTTAAGACTTTTTAACAATAGTTGCCACGGAATGATGGTTTTGCTTTGGGGTGGGGGGTTGGTGGGCAGGTTTGAGACAGGGTCTCATGTAGCCCAGGCTACCTTCAAAGTTGCTATGTAGCCAATGATCTTGAACTCATTATCCTCTTGCTTCTGCCTTCAAAGTGCTGGGACTATAGGCTTGTAACACCACACTCAGTTTATGCTGGGGCTCAAGTCCAGAGCTACCAGCATGCCAGGCAAGCATTCTATCTATTTAAATACTCAACTCTTCGGGGTTATACTTTAAAAAGATCACTCTAGCATCTCTGTAGAAGATCAGCACTGGTAAGGTATAGAATTGAAGCACAAAGACAAGTTAGAAGGTGACTTAAGTAGACTAGGTAAGAGACAGCAATTTGGGCTAGGCCTATAAGCAAGCTACTCAACAAATGAATCCAAAATACATAGGCAAATGAGAATAGACCAGATACGCCAGTAGATTAGATTGATGAAAAACAACTCCTCAGCTTTTGACCCAAGCATTGGGTAGATGAATTCGGGGGAAAGATTTAAGAAGAGAACAGGAGTTCTGTTTTAAACACATCAAATTCAAATTTTCTATTAAATATGCAAACAAAGAAATGAAAAAATAATGGAATATATGAGTATCAAGTTCAGACACAGAACATGCAGTTTTTTTCTCACTCACAGAAATTAAATCCTGTAAAGGCTACACGAACATGAAACTAACAAATACCGAACAGTGGTTCCAGGGAAAATACGTGGTTAGGGACCTCTGCAGCTTATTTGTGTTTTTATGGTCCAGGCTATGAAGGGAGTTTTTTTCCTCCAACCAGGCAGTCATGAAATACCCGGGGTTGACTTCATCCTCGGATGTAGTCATCTCCTGTGTTTTATTACATTCCTGTTTATTACGTTTATCTCGTTATCACACCGGGTGCAATGTTAGACAGGATATTTGACATCAAGCCTTAACAGCAGCTTATACCATGCTACCTGGCAACACTCGGGACATTCTCTGAGCACTTACCCCATTCTTCCATAGGCCTTGCTGTATTTGGAATCAATTGCTATTGCTTTCTCACAGTCCTTTATTGCATCTGTGTAGTGGTTTAATTTGCTTTGAGCAGCAGCCCTGAAAGGAAGAGACATTAGAATAAGGCAGCTTTCCAGGCACCAGTCCAGGCATTTCAGGCATGAAATTACGTAGTCCTAGTCCCAAATTTTACATCACTCTTCTTAAATTTTTACATCAAACTATTTGATTATAAACAAGCTTAAAACATCAGGAAAAATATGTAAGTTTCCTTCTGCCCCCTGCTTTACCAAAAAGCCAAATGTGTGGGTCATTACAACCCATCTACTTATCAAGCACCTCTCAGTTTGCCTGAAACGCAAAATGAAAACACTGAGGCATCTGGACCACTAGGAACGAATATGGAACGGGCAGCTGCTATGAACTGGTCACTTTAATAGCCAGGGTAAAGCATACCAAAAATTTCCAACCCATTGACACCTTCTCCCATTCCTTCCCTCCTGACACCAACTAAACTTTATTTCTTCAGTCTCTTGAAGGTTATAATAATCTCCCTCAGCAAACCTCAAAATCTACTTCAGAGGGAGGCTTGAAGAGACTAACTCTAGAAAAACAGCATCTTCCTCGGAGGACATCTTAGTAATTTTGACCTGTTGATGATAACGCCAAGTAGGAAAAGAGTTCATTCAGAGGAGATGTGGGGGGTGAAGGGAGGCAGTATGAACAGCCAAGAAATAGCTGCACCAGCTCAGGCACGAGGACCAGGGCATGGAATCACTCTTAGGTTCTCAGGACTGCCCCACCCGCAAAGGGCATGCTGTACCCCTGTACTCCAAACCTGAGGTCCCTTCTAGTAATAGAGGCAGGAAGGCCTTTGTGGAGCAAATATGATTACACATCCAGAAATTGACTTCGATTCCCTCCTGTTCTTGTGTCAACAGTCAAAAGTTCACAGCAAACATCCCGTGAACTCCCAGCCGGCTAAGCTGGACCATGACCTGAGAAGCGCTACTCTCGATCTTCCACCTTTCTCTCAGCCACGTTTCTTGTCGGAATTCCCACACTTCTTGTTTGTTCAACCTTCTGTCTTGCTTGAAACTAAGTTTTTTCAGGGACTTCCTGGACTCTATAGTATTCTATTCTATGAAAAGAATAAAACTGATGAAAATGTGTGTGTGTGTATGTGTGTGTGTGTGTGTGTGTGTGTGTGTGTGTGTATCTGTGTATGTACCTATGTGTGCTCATGTGTGGCAGTCAGACACCTTCAGGAATCAGTCCTCACCTTTCCACCTTCAGACACGGTCTCCTCTGGCAGGGTAGTTGGCCCTGAGCTTCTGGAGAGTCTCCTGTCTGTCCCTCCATTACAGAAGTCAGCACTAACTACATGGTTCTGGGATCTGAACTCAGGGAGCTTGGGTTTGGAGGATATACATTCAAAACGGCAGACTTGTGAGGCAAGGGTTTCTATCCACTGAGACAGCTCCGCAGCTATGACTAAAACACTATGCTCCTCACTGTCCTCAACATGCCTTAAATGTTCTAATTCCCTTCTGGCCATCAAAGTAAAGATTAGGAGTATCTATTCTCACAGTCAACTTGACTACATCTGGAATTAACTAAAACAAAGCTGCCGGGCACACCTGTAAGAGGTTTTTCTTGATGGGATTTTTTTTGAAGTAGAAGACCCACTCTAAATCCAGATATTTGAGGTTGGAAGATCCACCCTAAATCTAAGCTACATCAGACGATGTGGCCCCGCACACAAGGGCATGAGAGGAGGAAACTTGGTTTTTCCTCACTCTCACTGGCAAGTTCATTTACTCTGTTCCTGAGGCATTTCTCCCCTTGTTTAACAATCTACTTTGGAATTCCAACATAAACTGAAAACAGGAAGCTCTCTGCAACTTCCCTGACAGTCCAGAACCATATTGGGACTGCGGATACAATCAGCCTTGTGGACTGAACAACTACCGGATTCTTGGACTTTCTGTTAGGTGAATGCCACTGTTGGAGTACTCAGACCATAGCCTGTAAGCCAATCTAATAAAACACGCACAAGCATGCACACACACAGAATCATTTTTTTTTTTTTGTTCTATCAATTCTGTTCCTTTAGAGAACCCTGGCTATTACAACCCTTATTGTATCCCATCAACACTGAGTGTCCAAAGTAAATGGCCAAATGTTTAGCTATCCATGAACAGTGTTCTCTAAAACCAGTCCTATGGAGAGGCAGCTAAAAGTGACACTGATAATCCTGGACAGTGAAACTTGAAATATAGATCTTCCGAGTTCTCAGTAAGAAATAGCCATACCTAGTGTAAATTAGTTTGATAACAATTTTGGAGATCAGCCTTCACAACTAATATGCATATTAATGGCTGGTATACATATACTCCAGAAAGTAGATTTCTGAAACAAAAAAAGACTCATCCTTTTGCCAGACATGGTGGTATATCCCATTAATCCAAGAACTGGTGAGGCAGATTTCTGTGAGTTCAAGGACTGCCTGATCCACATAGCAAGTTCCAGGACTACAGAGTGAGGCCCTGTCTCAAGAAAAAAGGAAAGAAAAGAAAATGAAAACGCTCATGCTTTTGCCCAATTTGACCTTTGAAACAATAATATATCCATAACTAAACTCTGTGAGGGTGAAATGTCATGCCCCCTCAGAAAAAGCCCTGTTCTGGCCACAACAGAAAACTCTCCCACACTGAGGACTGAAGTTCAAATCTACTAATGCATTCTACCCAATATTTAAGTTGCTTGCAGAAAAACAGTTCAGTAAACTGTCCAAAATCCTGCCAGCTCAAGTAGCTGACCTGATAATTTAATAAGCAGAATCTCTTCTAGAACTGACACTTCTGAGAAGTCTAAAATGAAAGAGGAAACTTAACTGTGTGCCTGCCTCTGGCTGTGAATGAAGCCCCCATCCTGAAACTTCCAGATGCCTCCTGTTCTCCCATGTGGGACACTCCATTCTTCTCCCAATGGAATGTTTCTCTTTCAGCTGTACTGAGTGTCAAACCCAGATCCTTGCACATGCTAGGCAAGTGCTCTACCACTAAGCTAATGCATCTACTGGGGCCGCGAGGTACACAGACACTAAGAAGAATGAATATACCAATAGTGAAATACTATTCCTGCTCTCAACAGTGCTAGAGTCCAGTGCAGGGAGGGGAAGAGAAAGGCTAGCTGACTATAAAGAAAATGTGGTTCCATATGTGGTCCCACACACACACACTCGTCATCCCAGGACCCAGAAGGTGGTGACAGGAGAATCAGAAGTTCAAGGCCAGCTTCAGCCACATAGTGAGTTCAAGACTACCCCAAGCTATATATAAGACCCTGTCTCGGGCTGAAGGGGTGGGTTAGTGGTTAACAGCACTGGCTGCTCTTCCACTGCTGTTCTGAGTTCAATTCTCAGCAACCACATGGTGGCTCACCACCACCTATAATGAGATCTGATGCTCTGTTCTGTCATACACGTGTACATGCAGATAAATCTCCCATATACATAAATAAATATTTTTTTTAAAAAAAGACCATGTCTCAAAGAGAGACAAAGACAGAGAGAAAAAGAGAGAGAAAGAAAGAGAAATAATTGGGATTTTTCTTCTTTCTTTGTGCTGTTTTGTTTGCATTTTGGTTTTCACCTCTCACTTTGAGATACAATGTTGTTATGTAGGCAGGCTGGTATTAAACTGTCCTTCTTCGGGCCTAAACCTCTCTAGCGCTGCTATTTGTTACTATGCCTCCCAGAAAAGGTGGCTTCGAGTCTATTTTTCCATCAACCATTCTTCAGCTTGACTGAGGCCCTTCACTCTTAGAATAAGATCATAGAAGTTTAGTGTTTATTAAAAAATTAAACGGGCTGGGGAGATGGCTCAGTGGTTAAGAGTACTGGCTGCTCTTCCAGAAGTCCAGAGTTCAGTTCCCAGCAACCATCAGATCCAATGCCATCTTCTATCACACAGGCATGTACCATGTAGCTACACCCCCAGCCCAGATCCACCACTCTAGTCTCTTTGCAAAATTTAAAAAGCATACGGGTAAAGGGAGCATGACTCAAGATGCTATGATCGCTGTCTTTTCATGCTGACGTCCATGATCAAAGCCAGGAAGACCCAACCAGAGCATGTGGGGATAAAAGAAGGTAATTGCTTTGATCTTTTTATTATGGGTGCGTACATGTGTGCATGTGTGTGTCTATGTTTGTGGGCACGCTCAGACCACAGGACTTTGCATGGAGTTCAGAGGACAACTTCTGGGAGTGTTCTCTCCTTCCACAACAGGGGGTTGTGAGGATTGAACTCAGGTCACCAGCGCTTTTATGTGCGGAGCCATCTGGACAGTGAGGCAGTCCTGCCAGCTTTAGCTCATAAATGATAAGCTAAGGTCAGGGTGGGTTTGTGCAGTTCAGAGGCCTGGGAAAGAAAGCAAAGCCAGGATACACGTGAGTCTCCTGCGGAGGAAGCCGACCCCTTCGTTGTCTGCACTGCACAACAGTGTCACAACTGTGGTCGTGTTTGTAAATACCTTCCCTCTCCTCACCTTTAAGGCAGAAAAAGTCAGAGCGACTGCACATTTCCTTAACCATCTGTAATTAAGTTATAACCAAACCTATTCTTCTAACTGCAATGTGCTTACACTGTTTTGTTTGCTGTGTTTTTTGCTCTGGAATGGGTCGCTTAGTTGACTTAGACTTTGAGTTTGGAGGTCTCATGATATAACTCAGGATGACTTCAAACTTGCTGTTCAGCCTGGCTCGCCTCACCCTGAAGACACTCCCCGCTCAGCCTCTGGAGTGGATTATAGGTGTATGTCATCTGTGTTACACTGTTATTTCTTTAGAGACAGGATCTCAAGATGCATCCCTGACTGTCCTGAAACTCACTACGTAGGCCAGGTTAGCCTGGAATTCACAGAGATCTGCCTGCCTCCGCCTCCTGGATGCTGGGATTAAAGACATGCAGGATTATACCTAGCAACAATGTATTTTGAGAGAAATGTTTGAAGTCTAGAGGTAGCTAGGCTCTTCACATATATTACCACTCTTAGCACTTTGAAGCGGCTAGTATCATGCACTTTGAAGCGGCTAGTATCATGTTTAACTTACAAGTAAAGAAATTGATTCTCACAAGGAACAAAGCTCACATAGCAAAGTAAGTAGTAGAACAGAGATTCATTGATCACGTTCTCAGTAAATTGACTTTAGAATCTGCTAAAAAAAAAAAAAAAAAAAAAAAGTAGGAAAGCAAAATGCAAAATCATAGGCCCCCTAGGCCCAGCCTTCTCTGAGCTAAGGCAACGAGGTGGCATTACTGGCCATCTTCTCTTACAATGCCTGGTGATTCTGTTTTATTTGTATGTGCAGGTGCACGTGTGTGCGTCACACACATATGCACACACAGGCCATAGGACAAGACACCATCAACCTTTCTTTCTGAGATATGATCTCTCACTGGCCTGGAGATTTCCTGGCCTGTGCTGGCTGGCCAGGCAAGACCCTGGTTCTACCTATCTCTGCTACCCGAGCACTGTGATTATAATCACGCACCACATCACCTGGCTTTTTCAAATAGGTTCTGGGGAGTAAACTCATGTCCTCACGCTTGCATGGTAGGTATTTGACCAACTGAGCCATCTCCGCAGCCCCCGGTTCTGAGTTCTGATATAAGCTCTCCAACCGGAAGCTTATATCCTCCTCTGTCTATCCAAATTCTGTCCTTCCAAACCACCTCCAACTCTTTCCTCGTCACCCAAGTGGAATTCCATACAAGTCCCCTTTCTCCTTCTTGCACCTTTTATTCCATGTACTGCGTTCAGTTCAGTGATTTAACTGTCTAAGAAGCACCCCTAGAAAGAGGTAACTGACTAAGCACTGACGCTACACAGAAGAAACGTGTGTGCAGAAACAGACGACATCCTGTAAAGTCCCCACCTTCGATGGCTTGTTGTGTGACGGGCAGAGCTGTTAACGTGGCAATCTACCCACTTCACTGTCACTGGAAATGTCTTCTGTTTCTTCCCTAGCTCTCTGTTCATCAAGCAAAGCCGTGTGAACTCCAGTGAGGCACAATGCTGCTAGTACAGTGCTTAAAGGATATGCAAGCCCCAGTCTCTGCCCTTTGTGGTAAGAAAGAATGTGAATCTACATCTCACGTGAGGGAAAACGTGCTAAACCTATGTACATGTTACCTATGTGGTAAGTGCTAGACAATAAAGAGAAATAAAGTAAAACGAAAACAAATCCCAGGCTTTCAAAGAAGGACTCATGGACTGCAGAGATGACTCAGCTGTTAAAGGCTGGCTTCCAACCAAAAAGACAAAGGACTCATGTCTTCCCTACCAGAAATGAGCCTAACTAGCAACAGCTTCCTTCAAAGCCAAGGCAGAAGGTAAGTGCCAGAGAGTCACACATCTCTACAAAGTAAAGTGTAGTTCATGCCAGTACACTCAGTGTTGGGGGAACATTTTAATCAGCATTCAACTGTGAAAGGGGTTTCTGAGAACAATGGTCCTTCCGGGGAGACTGAGCCACCAGTGCTAAGGAACCAGGTGGCTAAGAAAAATGGAAGTGGTAGATGGTAACGTAACAGGCAGTTGGATTTATATAGTCACAACAGTCTCCAAAAATCCCCAAATCACCATGAGGTTTCCTTCAGCATTTGTGTGAAGTAGACAAATAAACCTTTCTAACTGTTTCATATTCAGCAGCATGCCCTATGACTGAACTCTTCAGGGGAAAGAGTCTCTTTAAATGCAAAAGAGAAGCATGTTCATTAATGTCAGTTTAACGGTAATTAAAAACAAGGATAGATATCAGCAAAAATCTCTAACCCAGTAGTGGCACACATACGATTAGTAAATTCTAATCTCATGAAAAATGAATTATTTACTTAGGCTCACACTTTTCATAAACAAGAATTTGGCTTACCGTACTCTATAATCAAGCAATTTTACAGTAACATCGACATCCTATAATAATACCACATGATAGTCTTATATTTATTTTCAAAGTTTCATCTACTGAATCAGATTAAAACATTACATATATTTATCTGGTTACAAAGACCGTAACTCAAATATCAAAACATAGCTTGGGAGAGTTCCTCTTCCTCAATTTATTTTTGGGTTTTCTGCCTTTCTGAGATAGACTTTGAATGATTTGTTTCTCTTTTTTTACGTGTATGTAAAGAAAAAAAAATGGAGGTTTCCAGTATGGCTCATTCAGTTCTTTATAGATCGAAGCCTTCCACAAATAACTATAAATGAAGGACAAATGCCATGCTATGTGGCCCACACGGGACTAAAGTTTGTGCTCTTTCTGTTTCAGCCTTCCTAAGTGATGGCATTGCAGGTGTGGACTGCCACATCCTCCTCAAGACCCCCTCAAGAGTGACTTCATCACCACCCATGGGAGGGGCTCACCAATCTTTTGTGCCAACAATGCTAGCCGTCTTTTAAGCATTAAAACAAAATGCATAAGCAATCATTTCACACCTACGTTTCCCTAAAATAATTTTGGTGGCTTTTGGTTTGGTTTCGTTTTTGAGACAGGGTCTCACTTTGTTGTGTCTGGGATGTCCTGGAACTTGTTTTGTAGATCAGGATGGCCTCCAACTCACAGAGACCCTGTGCCTCTGGAATGCTGATGTTTGTCTGTTTTGGTTTGTTTTATCAGATGAGTATAGTATTGAGAAATTATAATCAGAAAAATACTTCAAATGTACAACTCAAAGGCAAACTGGGCATTTACAAGAAGCCATCATTTGGGGGCTGGAGAGATGGCTGAGAGTTCAGAGCGCTGGTTGTTCCTCCAAAGGTCCTAAGTTCAATTCCCAGCAACGACATGGTGACTCATAACCATCTATAATGTGATCTGGTGCCTTCTTCTGGCCTATAGCCACACATGCAGGCAGAATGCTGTATAACTAATAAAGAAGCCATCATTTGGAACCCTTGTCAATAAGGAATCCACAATAAAAGCTGCAGTCTCCCTCTTTCCCAGATTCTAGAACCAATGAACATTCCAGGTGTGGCAGCAAGCACCTGTAACTCCAACACTGAGTGGGTAGAGACAGGAAAACCTTGGGCTAGCTGGCCAGCCGATGGAGCATCATCCCTGAGCTTCAGATTCATTGAGAGCCATTAAAAAACAGGTAGAGAGCAATAGAGGAAGAAACCTGGAGTCAACCCTGAATTCCACACATGACTATATACACATGCACACGCGCGCACACACAGACACACACACAGAGAATGAAACATTCAAAGGCGGAGGGCTCAGCACATGAATGCAACTACTGTGTAATCGCTGCACATGAGTACAATTGCTACAACCACATGGCGAGGAAAGAACCAGCTCCAAGAAGCTGTCCTCCAAACTCTGCACTCACCCTCTCCCTCTCACACATGTGCACATCACACTTACACGGTAATAACTAAAACAATAAATGAGAAAATTTACAAGAACACTAACAAAACATTGCCAACATTTAAAAAAACATAAATCCTGCCTGACTGGCCGTTAAATACAAAATATAATAATTTAAATGAAAACACTTAAAATAATGACAACTAATAATTAGAGAACCTAACGCTCATAAAGAGCATGTAAAAATAAATATATCTATTCCTAGGGCAGGGAACAAAATACATTGAAACAAGCGGGGTGTGGTGACACACACCTTTGATCCCAGCACTCAGGAGGCAGAGGTAGATGGATCTCTCTGAGTCTGAGGCTAGCCTGGTCTACAAAGAGAGTCCAGGACAGCCAGGGCTACGAAGAAAAACCCTGTCTCAAAAAAAAAAAAAACAAAACAAAAAACTGAGACAAAATTTCAGCTATTCTCAATTTTTTCGATGTTTGCAGCTGATAAACCAACTAAATGCATTTTTACGGATAGATCTAAAGTCCAGGAAAAAAAAAATACTATCAGCGAACCTAGATAACATTGAGAAAAAATGGAGAAAACCATACAGCCCCCAGCATATGACACTAAATGCTTGTCTGCTAGCCCCGGCTACAGGCACTGAAAATACAAATGAGAATAAGAAGTGAAGACAACCATTTAAAGAATGCTTGCGGACACTTCCAAAAGCTTAGCACATGGTAGGGCAGCTAGCCCCCATTGGTAGAATGCTTGCCCAGAAAGCGCCAAACCCTGGGTCCAACTTCTAGTGCCACGGAAGCTGGGTGTGGTGGGTGAATCCCAGAACTCCAGAAGTTGAGGCAGGAGAAGCAGGGTCTCGGGTTCTCATCAGCGCACAGAAATTTCTAGACTAATCTGAGCTACATGAGACCCACTCTCAAAAAAAAATTACAAAAAAAAAAAAAAAGGGACATGATTATCGCATGTCCAATGAACAAAGTTAAATCTAAAACTGTCTGCACTCCTATAAAACAAAATATTCTAAAAGAATATTAAGACTGGTGGCATAGGCTTTATTCCTTTCTCCTTCAGCTTATTTTTCTATACTTTCATATTTTCTCAGCAAACACATTGGACATCTGCCTTCCAGAGCTCTGGATCCCAGCGTTTCAGACAGAGCGAGCAGCTGACATGAGCTACATTACCTGTTGCAGTAAAACACTGCATTGTTGGGGTCCAGCTCTATCGCCTGCGTGTAACAAGCCACCGCGGCGGCGTAGTTCTCTTCCTTCATGTGGTTGTTGCCTGCAATCAGATCAACGACAGGCACCGTGAGCACAAAGTATGAAAAAGTGGAAAGTCTGACTGATAGGTTTCACCCTTAGAAACTACAGTAACGTGAAGGTCACACACAGTGTCTTTCGGTCACACTAGGGTCAGTTCTATCTCATACCATCGAGACGCTGTTCTTAGTTTCATGGTGTTTAAACCTTTCCAACCATGTGGAGTCACGAAAATTAATGTTTGCACAACGTAAAATCCAGCTGTTGGAGGAAAGGCAAATGCATCGTGACGACATCACAGATACATATCCTCTCCTCCTTCATCTTCCTCACCCTCTCCCATATAGATCTGTCCGCATTCCTCCCTTTCTCCTAGCCATAAGCTCAAACTGAGCCAGACCCTGCCCTCTTCCCTTCAACAGAGAGAGAGAGAGAGAGAGAGAGAGAGAGAGAGAGAGAGAGCCATGCAAGGGAGGCTGCTGAGAGGAAGCTGGCTAAACCAACTGTGCTAACATCTTTGGCAGATAATATCCTTTTTAAAGGAGATAGAAACCTTTTAAGGGGATTGTAGGAGATTAATTTCTAGAGAGACAGGATTTCAGATACCATGCTAGCCTACTAAGTACTGATTTTCAGGAAGAGCAATTGCACATACAGCTGGCAGCAATTTATCTAGTAAAATAAGGGATTCCCGTGACTCTGTCTGCTACGGCATCACATGAAGGGATACAGCGTACAGTGTGTTGGTCAAAAACCGCTGGATGAAACTGAAAATTCTAGGTCTGAGACTAGGATGAAGGGCTTACGTCTCAGAGCCTCTACGATTCCTCAGTTTCCTGTTCCTGTTCTGTTGGTGAGCTGCTTAATAGGCAAGTGAGGGATAAGCCTGCAGAGAGCAGGGGCTGGAAGGATAAAGGAAAGACAGGTGCACAAGCTTCCAGGGTTTGAGGAACTGCTAATGGGTAAAAATGGTTAATAATTGATTTGGCTGTAAAATCTGTGAGTGTTATAAACCAATGAACTGTACATAGTAAAAGAGCAACTTATACAAAGAATAGCTCAAGAAATTTGTTTTTAATGAAAATTAATTGATTTTTAGACAGTTTTCCCCAAAAGTCATTAATATGAAGATCTTGTTTGTTTGTCTGAGACAGGCTTTCTTTGTGTAGTCCTGGCTGGCCAGAAACTCACTCTGTAGACCAGGCTGGTCTCAAACTATGAGATCCACCTCCCTCTGCCTGTGGAGTGCTGGGATCAAAGTCCTACGCTGCCACCGCCACCACCACCCAACAAAAACTTTTTAAGAAATCTAAGAAGATAACAAACTTTTTATGATTACAAAAAGAGTTAGCTACATTAGCCTGAGGTAAACAGACTTGTCAAGGACTTTCTTGTTCTTGGTTGAGATTTTTGTTGTTGCCTTGGGGTAGCATCTCACCACCATCAGCATTAAAACTTTCTTGGGTCTTTCCTGTGAACCGCCTTGAATGTGCAGGCACTATAACTTGTATATAGACATTACAAACATATACAAGTGCTGTAATGTAAGTTAATGATTAGAAGGCAAATTCAGTTTGCAAACGAGTCTGTGGACATAACACAACAATAAAACATTGGTATAGCGCTTTATAGTTGTGTGATGTGCTCCTACAAAGCTGTCTCCTTCCACTCTCAGCCCCATCAGGAGACGGCAGCTGGGAGCCCTTCCTGCTTCCTCCTGCTTTTCAGAAGCACACGATACATCTGAAAGCCATGTCCAGGAGGTTACTAGCTAGTGAGTGGCCTCGATTACCACCACCACCCTGGAATATTGCTACACTTGACAACCTACCATGCCTATTCTAGACAGAATGGCCATCACTTTGACTTGGCTCAGACCATGTCTGAGATATGAGATGTCTCAGTGAAAACAAAGAACAAAAGCGTTTGCTAAAGGTGAACTTAGAAGTAGCTCAGTCTCCCCATCTGCTATGTTGAAGGAGCCTCATGCTACCCCTCCCTCTAGCCCACATCCTCCTAATACTCCCTCTAGCCCACATCCTCCTAACATTCACATCAAAACAAAACCAAACAAAAGACTCCACAGGGATTACCATTTCCCAAGGCTGCCATGCAGAGCTAGTAGCATAAGGGACAAAAATAACGTTTCAATTTGCCATTCACTGAGCACAACTACTAGGACTAAGCCAGCTTCCACAATAGAATGGCGCCAGAGACCACACAGCATCACTGAAGTGCTGTCACACGATGCAAAACCCAAGCGGCTGAAAAACCTCTGATGAAGCTGCTCCAATTAGAAAACATGACATGAAAATGTTTTTGCATCTAATTCAGATGCTGAACTACAAACATTTTGGGAAATACAACTCAAGTGGTAATGAGTAGTGGCCATGTTTTTATTTTACGTGTAAATTATGAGGTCATAGTATTTTAAGGTTATTCCAAGACTATCACTTTCAGAGGAAACAGAATTGGAAACAGAGACTAATCTACTTGTCCAGAGCAGAGAACTTTATAATGTAATCCTAAAATGATGAAAACACTGAAGAACAAGGATGTAATCAAATATATTATATATATTGTTTTGTTTACTAACTATATTTATATATTATATATTACTAATATATAAACTATATATTACAAATTAAACTATATATTATATATTATAATTATATAATTTATTATATCATATACAATATTATATATTAATAATACATAATATATAGTAAACTATATATTAGTAAGATATATAGTACTATATATACTATATATGATATTATATAATATCATATATAATGTAATATTATTATATATGATTATATATGATTATATATAATATTATATATGATATTATATAATATCATATATAATGTAATATATGATATTATATAATATATGATATAGTATATATAGTACTATATATATAGTAATATAGTATATAGTATATAAAATATAGTAATATATAGTAACCTATGTAGTAATATATAGTAAACTAGATATTATATGTTATATTATATATGATATACAATATATTATATATTAGTAATTAATATATATTATGTAATTATATTATATATAATAATATAATAATAAACTATAATATATTATAGTTTAATTAAATATATCACAGTCTTAAAATATAATACTATTATTAATAATATAATTGATATTATATTAATATAATTAATAATATAATAATAAATAGATACTAATATAATCAATATTGTATTATATTATATATTATGTAATATATATATATTAGTTTACTATATATTATATATAGTTTACTAACTACATTAATATTGTTTGCTAACTATATTAATATATAATATATAATTAATATTATATAATAATATAGTTAATTATATATTATGTGTGATATATATTACTATATTATAATATACAGTAGTAATATAATTATAATATATTAATATAATACAATTAATATATTAATATTATAATATATAATATCATATGTTAGTATGTAATAATCATTAATGATATGTTATGTTAATATAGTTAGCAAACAAGACAAATGCCATATGCATGCATTAATAAATTTCAAAAAACTCTTTAAAAACATTAATTGTATGTTAGTTAAAATAAAACATACAATTTACAACCTTTTTTAAATTAAAAAATGAAGAATTGGAGTCAAATAGCAAGTGCAGTTCCAAGGAAATAGCCATAAGGTATGTGCTCATCAAAGCGTGCAGGAACTAGGCTGGCCTTGATGGCCTTGATTTGACAAAGCTCTCTATGTCACCAGGCCTCTTCAAACACGTTCACATCTGCTCCTCATGTGCAGCCTACCACAGCGCAGCCGTGACAGTGCGACCACACTGCCAGAGCCTTGGAGTTGCCGTGTCCAGAGCTGCAGGAAGTAAGGGCTGCAGCTCTAGGTATTTACCTTCATCCTTCAGTTGATCGGCCTTTCCCACATCTTCAGGCACCGAGTTTGAAAGGGGCATTATGTCATTCTGAAATGAAATCAAAACATGCTTCTTTTTAGCTACACAAAAAGTCATTCCACATTGATAAATAATTATAAATTGCATATATTTTAGTAACTCTTTTTTTTTTCCAGTGCTAGGGATTCAACTAGGATGTCACAAATGCCAGGCAAAAGCTCGGCCACTGTGCTGCACCACCATCCTGATGGTTTTGCTCTTTTTACATTACTTCAAGGCAGGAGGATCACAAGTTTGATGCCTGCCTGGGCTGTCGAGTAGGTTCAGGGATGGCCTAGTGTCCTAGAGGGAAAGAGTCTGCCTTGAAGTTGGAATTACAGCTCCAGTTTTCTCCTCTTTTCCCAGATGTTTCTCCCATAGTCAGAAATCCCATTTCGTGAACAAAATATGCAATTAATATGCAAAGTGCAAGAATAAAAGTAGAAACTTCTGGAGCAGCATATTTATTATCCTAACACATGTATCTTAATACTGTTGATCAATTTAAAAAAGCATCTAAAATGTGACCATTTAAAGGCATACAAAAATGTGCACATACACAGATTCATATACTAAGACTATGAAGATGTATCCCAAAGTTAACAGTATTAGTATTTGGAAATAAAACTTGTAGTCTCTTCCTTATATGTTTTTGTATTGTCTGTTGTTTTAAATAATAGTCAGATAGACAATAGTAGGTGAGATGAATAGCAGCATGAAATTTTGTACCTGCTATCCTCCTCAAACCTCTTACGCATAAATTTCAAAGCAAAGATCCTCTAAAAGTAAACACTGAGGCGCGCTGAGTGATGATGGGAACTTGGTATCTTTATATTTATGGAAGGCCTTGAAAATTATATTGTCTTTAACTTCACTCTGATGTTACAATTAAGTTGACAATACTGACAAAACAAGAAGAATTTGTAGCTTTTCTGCCGATATAAACCCATGGTAACCATTCATGTGAACTAAAATGTCAAGGAACGTGATACACTGAACCTGAAAATGTACTTTGCTAATAAGAAACCAATATCCACATGTGCAAAAATCACTGACAAGGATTGGACTTTTGCCTAAAACAAAAACAGTAACAACAAAACCTTCTCTCTGAAGCATAAAATACTAGGCTAAAACGACACAGAACACTCATGCCTGCTCACCGCTTAACTATGTTCCCCAGACACGATCCCTATCACTCTACCGAACCTGCTCACAGGCTTCTTTCTATCTTACAACTTCCAACAAACATACACAGTTTATTAATTTAAAAAATGAATCTTTTGGGTCAGAAAAAAGGCATATTGAAAATTTGATTATAATTTATTTTCTTTTCCAACCTCTTAACTTTTTTGGTGGGGGAGCAGGGTTTCTCTGGGTAGCGTTGGCTCTCCTGGATTCTCTCTGTAGACGAGGCTGGCCTCAAACTCACAGAGATCTGCCTGCCTCTGCCTTCCTGAGTGCTGGGAGTACAGGTCTGTGCCACCAAGCCCAGCTCTAACCCATAAACTTTTAAGATGAAATTACTGCAGTTTTACACTGAAAATTAATTTCATACTCATTGAATAAACCTGAGGAGCTTAAAACATGTTGGCAAATGTTACATACTTTAAATAAAGGGAATGGGTCCATTTTCCAAAAGCATAAACAGAAATAGGGGGCACAAAGGGAAAAGCAGAATTCCAAAAGTTATGTCACATTCAAGTACACTGGATGAGGTGAACTCTTTAATCATAATGATGTCAATGCTGCTTCAGGCACACTTTAGACTTTCCCTGCTGTACAGGGTTAGTATGCTGAGTAGAGGTACAGGTGTAGGCCAAAGAGCCACAGGTGTAGACCTGGGTACTTTATAAAGGATGATGTGACCACAAAGAACATCCCGAAGATGTAACAGGGAATCAGTCTCAACCAACTGACACTTAAAAAATAGAATACAGTAAACCTCTCACAATTAAGTGTACTCAGAGAGCTACAGAAACAGAGCTCGATTCCAATAGAGTACAAAAGTCAACCGGTATTCCTGGAAAACAGTTGGAAGTTGTAAGATGCTACGAGCAGTGACACCTTCAGGACTAAGTCCGTGGAGACACTAGCAAAAGCTAAGCTCTGTCTGTACACAGCTCTTGGGAACCTGAGCAGGGGACCTCAGGAAGCCACAAGCTCAGACACAATGAAGAAGACAAACAGGTCATCTCAATCAAAGGGAAGACAAAAGGAAGAGCCAAGACTCTCGTAACTTCCCACATGCTGTCATATGAGCTCATCTGCTTGATGAGTTAAACTGTACCCGCGTTATTCTCTTCTGAGTCTACAACTACCAAATTCCATCTCCGATGCAAGTACTCTCAGGGTCTCTTCCCAACAAGTTCTAGAAGCAAAGTGGGGAATGCAGCTAAATGTACTGTCCACTCACGTCAAAGCTAACACGTCCTGTGCCAGCAATACTCAAACTTCTCAAGCACAGCACGAGAACAAGAGCACTCAAAGAGGGCACTGCGAACACAGCCCTGGTCCTCTGCATACGCAGTATGTGCTGGAAAGCGCGGAGCAATCTCTCCAGCACCACAGAGCTTGGAAATTTAAAAATAAACTACAAAAAGACTTCAAAGTAGGCAAGGTGAGACTAGCTACTAATATGAACGTCTAAAGCGCGTTAAGCGAGGTAAATTTTAGTTCCTAAATAATATCCATAACATGTATTTCTCTTATACCCAGGAAGAAGTTGATTATTTGCAGACCTATCCCCTCAGCTATTAAGAACCCAAGATAAAACTGTATCATACTTGCACCAAATACTAATGAGGGGAAAAAATGCCAACATACCTTACAGATGGAGTTTGTGAATATTTCTGTCAAAGGCTGTGAAACTGCTAGATGTGTATCTTCTGGACTGATCTTAAAAACTGTCTCCAAGCACTGAATTGCAACTTGAAATAAAATAAGAGCAGGGGGGATTAGCAACTTTAAAAAGGAGCCTTCAGTTTTTCCTTATAGAAATGAAATTTATGATAAATAGGTATTTATAGTCAAACAACCTAAGGAAAACTAACTGGCCCAGCTTCACAAAGACTTCTATTTATGGATGAGCTACTTGAGAAAGACAGTAGTCTTATTTCTCACTGAAAGATAAGTATTAGCTAAAATACAATTTCTGAACATTCACAGTACAATATATTCTTGCTGAAAGCTACCAGAAAGAAGAGAATATCATTAACATCTTACATTCCAATACTAATATCTAATTAACCACCAATGTATTAAACAAACCTAAAATGTTATACATCTTTTATATATGAAAAACAAGATTTCAACTTGATGAAAATTAGTAAGAGAAATGTAATGCTTGACCCAGAGCAAGCACGAAATATTAATCCTGGAATAGTAAAATGAAAGAGTTCTGTTTTAAAATATTCGTTCACTGCCCAACTATGTTCATAGCAGCTTTATTTGTAATAGCCAGAATCTGGAAACAACCTAGCTGTCCCTCAACCAAGGAATGGATAAAGAAGTTGTGGTACATTTACACAATGGACTACTACTCAGTAATTAAAAACAAGGAAATCATGAAATCTGCAGGCAAATGGTGTGAACTAGAAAAGATCATTCTGATTGAGATAACCCAGAAGCAGAAAGACACACATGGTATATACTCACTTATAAGTGGATACTAGCCATATAATGTAGGATAAACATACTAAAATCTATAGCCCTAAAGAAGCTAAACAACAAGGAGGACCCTAGGGAAAATGCTTAATCCTCATTCAGAAGGGCAAACAATATAGACATCAGAAGCAGGAGTAGACAGGGAACAGGTCAGGAGCCTACCACAGAGGGCCTCTGAAAGACTCTACCCATCATGGTATTGAAGCAGATGCTGAGACTCATAGCCAAACTTTGAGCAGAGTGCAAGGAATCTTATGAAAGAAGGGGGAGATAGAAACACCTGGAGAGGACAGGAGCTCTACAAGGAGACCAACAGAGCCAAAAAACTCTGGGTCCAGGGGGTCCTACAGAGACAGATACACAAAGCAAGGACCATGCAGGAGAGACCTGGACTCCCTGCTCAGATGTAGCCCATGGCAGCTCAGTCTCCAAGTGGGTTCCCTACTAAGGGGAGCAGGGGCTGTCTCTGACATGGACTCAGTGACCTGCTCTTTGACCACCTCCCCCTGGGGCAGGGGCAGCCTTGCCAAGCCATAGACAAAGAGGATGCAGCCAGTCCTGATGAGACCTGATAGGCTAGGGTCAGATAGTAGGGGAGGAGGTCGTCCCCTATCAATGGACTATGGAGGGACATAGGGGGAGAAGAGGAAGGGAGGAAGGGTGGGACTGGAAAGAGATTAGAGTGGGGCCTATAGCCAGGATACAAAATGAATAAATTGTAATAAATAATAAATCAATAAAAAATATCCATTCACATAAGCAAATTTACTATGTGCCTGCTTTGTGTAAGGTTCTTTTCCAAGGTTTTAGAGAACAGCAATAAACATAACAGGAAAAACAAATCACTGTCCATACTATAGAGCAAAATACATAGCATGCTAAATGATGACAGTTGCCTTGTCTATTTTTGGTGGAGGACAAAATAACTGGTTGGTACAGCAAGGGTACAAGGTACAGACTGATGCAAAGATACGAAGGGAGATTATGTAAGAATCAAAGACTTAGCAGATCACAAGGCAGCTTCAATGACATTTTTAAAGCCTTGGATTCCGCGCCGCTGGCAAATGGAGAGCTTTCAAGGATTAGTGACAGAACATAACTGTCTGCATTTAGAACTAAAAGGATGGTAAGAATGATGAGAACGGCCTAGAAAGAGAAGCAGGAAACCAGGTGGGCTTCCACTCAAATGATACATACAAATGAGCATCCCATAACAGGAGTGAAATGTTTCATCCTCTCTGCAAGGACCCTTTGAGGGGGACAAGACTGGTTCTATTATAGGTTCCTGTCCTGTTCTCTGTTTTCTCCCTCTTCTGATGTCCATCTCGTTTGCCTTTCTGAATGAAGACTGAGCATCTTACCAGGGTCCTCCTTCTTGATTAGCTTCCTTAGGTGTACAGATTTTAGTATGATTATCCTATATTATGTCTAATATGTGTGAGTATATACCATGTGTGTCTTTCTGCTTCTGGGATACCTCACTCAGGACGATCTTTTCTAGATCCCACCATTTGCCTGCAAATTTCATGATTTCTTCACTTTTAATTTCTGAGTAGTATTCCATTGTGTAAATATACCATAATTTCTGTACTCATTCCTCAACTGAGGGACATCTGGGTTGTTTCCAGATTATGGCTATTACAAATAAAGCTGCTACAAACATGGCTGAGCAAATGTCCATGTATACTTGATCATCTTTTAGATATATGCTTAGGAGTGGTATAGCTGGATCTTGAGGAAGCACTATTCCTAATTGTCGGAGGAAGTGCCAGATTGATTCCAAAGTGGTTGTACAAGTTTACATTCCCACCAGCAGTGGAGGAGGGTTCCTCTTTCTCCATGTCCTCTCCAGCATGTGTTGTCATAAGATTCTACCCAGCAGGATATCAAAACATATGCTGAGATTCATAGCCAAACTTTTTGCAGAGTGCAGGGAATCTTATGAAAGAAGGGGAGATAGAAAGACCTGGAGGGAACAAGAGCTCCACAAGGAAAGCAACAGAACCAAAAAATCTGGGCCAAGAGGTCTTTTCTGAGACTGGTACTCCAAACAATGACCATGCATGGAGATAACTTAGAACCCCTGCACAGAAGTAGCCCAAGGCAGTTCAGTGGCCAAGAGGGTTCCCCAATAATAGGAACAGGGACCATCTCTGACATGGACTCAGTGGCTGGCTCTTTGATCACCTCCCCCTGAGGGAGGAGCAGCCTTACCAGTCCACAGAGGAAGACAAAGAAGCCAGTCCTGATGAGACCTGATAGACTAGGGTCAGATGGAAGGGGAAGAGGTCCTCCCCTATCAGGGGACTGGGGGAGGGACATAGTAGAAAGGTGGGTTTGGGAGGGGATGAAGGAGGGAGCTACAGCTGGGATACAAAGTGAATAAACTGTAATTAATAAAAATAAAATAAAAAATTAAATTAAGTTTTAAAAAAAGACTGGTTCTATCCCGTTGGTGCTATGGTTGAAAAATGAACTAAGCATATGGTCAAAGTAACCACTGCCCTTCCAACACTACTAAGAGATTCACGCACATCTTAGGAGACTTTTAAAAGATACTTTATGTATTAATTGTGATCTTGAGAAAAGTGTCCCTGTCACAAAATAAACACTATTACTTTTAACAGCCACAACAAGTTCTTCTTAGAAAGAGTCTGAGTCAAGCACCAAGTTCTCAGTAATAAGAAAATAATCTGTTTACCCATACTCCCTTCCTTTCCTGTCTGTGTTTTGGTATTTTGAATTCCTCTGTAGCTAGAACTACAAGAATGTGGCCTTCTCCTTTTCTATTTCTCCCAAGCAGATGAAGCTGCATTGAAAATACTGGACTGCAAGTCAATTTGCTCTGGTTGCCATAGCACTTACTTACAAGAATACAAGACATATGCGTTTGTTAACTCTTTCACCCTCCCACCCGGATCAGACTGCCATTCTCTACTGTGCCATGTAGTTTGTGGGGTTCTATTACTGCAAAGATCATTCTAAATCATATGGCCTGGAATGCATATTAGACATCTCATGCATATGAAATATCCCCTGGCATGCATATCTCATATTAGACCATCTCCTTGCAGACAGGGCTTAGTATCCATCTTTGACTTTAAGAGAGTCTGGCAAGTGGGGGATGGTCAATAAATGGGGTCCACTGGCTTCTTTGTCTGCAGTCAAAACCATACTTTAATTTCCAAGGAAATATAAAATGATCAGATCTAAGGTAGAGAGCATTTCTCCTGCCCACCATCTGTCTGTCAAAATCTAAACAGCCAAACCCAAACATAAGTTCACATACACACAAATAAATCAAGAAGACAAAAATGAGCCATTAACTAAAAACCAGTCCATGGAATTTCTGAGCCAAATAGACAGGATGGATTCACTTCACAAATGTTCTATGGGGAAGGATTGATGTATTCTGCCCAGTCGACTTAGAAACCAAGATACAGATCAGATAAGTGAAGGCCAGGGATTATGGATTTCAATTCAACAAATATATATGGAGCACCTATCACATGTCAGGCCTCCTTCTAGATACTTGCTAGAGCAGTGAATCAAATAGAAAAGGATCTTAACCTCTTGGAGCAGGGAGTGAGAAGATGACTATAACCAATAAACAAGGGCAAGGAGGCTGGGGAGGACAGGAGCTGAGCAGGAATGCAGACTGCAGATTTAACTTGGAGTTCAGGGCAGGCCTCCTTGAGAAAAAAGCTGGCAAAAACTTGGAGGAGATGGAAATGTTATCTTTACAGCACATAGGAATGAGGGAAGGCTATTCCTGGCCAAGGAAACAGCCAGAACAAAAGCCTTTAGGCACAAGGATCTGGTGCCTTCCCAGTAAGGAAGCTAATTTGGCTGAAACTAAATGAAAAACAGTAGGTGGACAATATGTCCAAATTATATAGATCCTTTATGCAATGACTAAGTAACTAAAGAAGTCCTGGCAAGATTCTGCACAGAGAAGAACAGAATCTGCCATAGCCTTAAGAAATGGGTGAGTGTAGATAGTCAAAAGAGCCAGAACAGGCAAAAAAAAAAAAAAAAAAAAAGACCACAGAAGAACTAGCAATAAACATTTTCAACCAAGGGTGATACAAGTGGAGGTGGTAAAATATGGTTAGACTCAAAATACATTTTATGGTTTGGGTTGGTTGGTATTTGCAGTGCTAGGGACTTGTGCACACCAGGGCACACCAGAAAAGCACTCTATGACAGAACTATATTCCCCAAACTCGGACTCAAGATGCATTTTGAGAGTATAGACTTTTAGGCCTGGTGAGGGGGTGCGCACCTTTAATTCCCACACTCAGGATGCAGAAGCAGGTGGATTTCTGTGAGTTTGAAGCCAACTTAGTCCATACAGAGAGTTCTAGCAAGAGATACACAATGAAACCTTGAGAAAGAAAGAAGAAAGGCAGACTGACTTTTGAAGGCACAGACAACAAGAGTTATTAACAGTTAGATGTAGAGTATGAGAAAAACAAAACCCTAGAAGAAGGATGCCCAAGTTTTTGGCCTAAGCAAAGGAAACCCTCGAGCTGCTTTCTCTGAGGTAGGGAAGTTGTGGATAGAACAGATTTTAGGTGGGAGGACTGTGAGTTCAGTTTTGGCGATGTTAATTTTGAGACGCCTAGTAGACATGCAAGCAGAGATACGTGGTAGGCAGCTGGATATAGAAGTCTGGGTTTAGAAGAAAGGTCTGGACTGGGGGTGCAGTTCTGAGAACTGTCAGCATATAACTGCGGTACTTCAGGGAAATAAGCTAAGAATTTTCACCAAAGCAATGAATGCAGATAATGCAAAATAAAATAAATAAATAAATAAATAAATAAATAAATAAATAAATAGAAAAATCAAGCAGTCGACTCTGAGCATAATAGAGCAGGGGAAAGGGGGTCAGCAATAGAGAGAAAGAGCAAAAAATGAGATGAGAGGACAAGGGGAATTACGAGGCATTCTAGACAATACGAAGAAGACATAAGCACAGGCTGACAGGCCGGGTCATAAGGACGGGATGCCTTTAACCCCAGCATTCCAGAGGCAGAAGAAAGCAAAATCTCTGGTTACAGAGTGAGTTCCATGACAGCCAGGACTACATAGAGAGATCCTGTCTCAAAAAGCCAACCAACCAAAAAAAGAACAGGATGAAGGAAAAAAATAGACACAGATAAGATTAAGAACTAGCAGTTTAACTAAACACAGAAATCAGTAATGTCCTTAATGAGAGCAGAATGGATGGAGATAAAAGATTATAATTCTTATAATTAAGAAATAGAAGAATTGGAAAAAGCGAGTATAGACAACTCTTTCAAATCGTTTTGTTACAAAGGGAGACAAAAAACAAAAACAAACAAAGAAAAAACAGATAAGGAGGACTGGGTAGACTCACAGGAATATCCATTTAAAACTATTATTTTTAGTGTATTTAATGTGTTCTGACTGTATGTATATATTTCAGTGCACCTGGTGCCTTCAGAGGTCAGAAGAGGGCATTGGATTCCCTGGAGCTAGAGTTAAAGACGGCTGTGATCTGATACGTGGGTACTGGGAGTTAAACTCAGGTCCTCTGGAAGTACAGCTAGTGCTCCAAACCACCGAGCCAGCTCTCCAGCACTGGCCCCCCTGACCAATTATTTTCATTGATGTATGTGTGTGTATAAATACCAAATGTCAATGGAGTACCCTCAGAGACCGGAAGAGAGCTTCGAATCTCCCTGATGCTAGGGCTGTCGGTGGGAGTGAACCACTCATCATGAGCTGGGGCCTACAGAAGAACAGCAAGTGCTCTCAACCACTGAGCCATCTTTCCAGCCTTGGTCCTTTTCTTTTCTCTTCTTTTCTTATGAAAGAGGAACGGATGGTACATTTATGATTGAATGAAAATGATTCAGTGGAGTGAAAATTTGATGATGTAGGACAATGGGTAGAAAAAGTACAGTGAAATACTGGATTGTGAGTTAGGATGGGACAAAATGTGCCAGAAGAGAGATTTCTCTGAGAAGGGAATATAGCTAGTCCACCTATAATAGTAAGCAGGCAGCTAGGCAAAGCATGTGGTGTTGACAGTGAGTGAATACAAAGGGTGTGGAAGTTAGTAGATATCGTTTCCTTATTACTTCGTTTTTTGGGGGGGTTTGTTTGTTTGTTTGTTTTACGCTGAAGGAAGTCTGGGGTTTCAGAGGATGAAAGAAAATATTAAAATGACCATTTAGGATAACAGATGGATGAGTGAGAAACAGATACTCTCTCTAGTCACCAACTAGCATAAAGGTCTGCTTGAGGTTCACAGTCATGAATCAATACAGTTAGTCAGCAAGTTGTACATTTTGCTCCATTAATCTATAGCCAAATGGATATAGACACTGAGCAGGTAGAATTAAAATTAAATAATGCTTGATTTTTCAAGACAGGCTAATAATACAAGAAAATATCATAATGACCCACCACAGAACTGAGGACAAATAAGGAAGAGGTAGGGAAAATACGGGCTTTACAGACTGGAGGGGTTGGTGAAAGACTCATTAGAGTGTGGATTCTGGAGGAAGAATGCTAGAAACACAAGCAGTAGAATTCAGGAGGTAAAACGTTTGAGACAGAGATTGCTGGAGGAAAACAATTTGGGAATGATACAGTCTGGGACAGGGTTTCTGAAGCTCATCACCCTGACACTTTAGATCAGAAAATCCCTTGTTTTCAAGGTCTGTCTAGTGCTTTGGCGAGGGTTTAGCATCTTCTATGGCTTCTATCCATGAGAGACCAGCCTCCCCAAAGGTGGTGGCACTAAAAAATGTCTTCAGACTTTGCAAAAAAAAAATAAACAACAACAACAACAAAAAATCCTGAATTCAGAAACACTGACCTGGTGTATTACCAAGTGGTTAAGAGCAGGGGAGGAGAAAAACCCAAGAGGCCAGTGGAAGAGAACTGCAAGAATCACCCAGTTTATCAGGATTCGAAAGAGTTAAGATGGGAGTAGTGCTTGCGAGAGTGACAGTGTGCTGAAACCAAAACAATCGAAAGTGAAGCACATGTCAGAGATGACAACATTCAGGGATCTGATAACAAACGTCACAGCTGATGAGACACAGCTCAACAACAGTGGTGAGTCGTGCTGGAACAACAGATCCTTTTGGAAAGCTTTTTTTAAATGTCTAGAAGGTGGGCAAACACCTCCACATGATTTCATGTTCAATTAAATTAGAATCAAAGAGTCAAAAATAGGGGTCAGTCACAAACAATTGGCACCATTTCTGACTCCATATATAACAAACAGCTGAAGGCACATATTTTTGGCTGAATGCCATTCTAAAAATAGGACATAACATCTTGGTTTTTTAAATTCTCTCGATTTTCATTCTGCTTCATTAAAACTCCTACTGCCTTAGATTAGAAAAGAAATATCTTTTTATTATGTGGTTGCTTTCCTCTGTTGTTACAGCACAGTTACAACCAAGACTTTCCTTTGGTAGCCAACCTACCTTTCTCTTCTCACACTCTGACTGTCAGGGAGGACAAAGAGACCTTAATATTAAAGGGGCTAATGTGCAATGCCCTTCCAGTGTGCCTCACCTGCTCCTCTCATTGCCACCTGGAAAAAACATCTTCTCACTAGACAGTTTCAAACAAATGCCCAACTTTGATTTGTACCTATTTGAAGGATGTCTACATTGTTCTGTCTTCTTATGACTATACTGAATTGAAACTGCATAATGCAGAATCATAAAGCAAAACCATGGTGTCAAGGAAATGCACGGTGCTCCTCCAGTCCTGCTCAGCTTTGCAGATTTCTGAATCCAAGATTTAAAGCTCACATAAAACAAGAGCAAAACCATCTCATTCCCCAAAGTAGCATTTGCTAGAGCTCAGTAATAGTATCATTTGCTCAGTACTGATATAATTACTTAGATTTTTTTAAAAAATATGGTGCTATTGCAATGACTAAGGTATTTTCACATGTTCTCCTGAATGAGATCCTCTTGCTATTAGAAAAAAGAGAGAAAAATCTTTAAAGTATGGACTGAGATTTAAAGCTCAGCTTTGTTACAAAGTAACTGTTCTGTGGCTTAAATCATTTGATCTCATTTCCTCATCTATTCAGTGGGAATAATGTTAGCTTAGTTCCCATAAAGAAAAACTTCCCTAGAATATGAATGACATACTTCTGACAATAATTTTTTCATTACATAAGCAATAGCCCTACTATTGTTAGTTAAAACAGGCCCCAGAAAATAAATAACACATCCAGTTAAGCCTCTCAACAGAATATTCTGATTTTGTTATAAAAAATCATGAATCTGGGATTGTAGCTACTTTAATCTCTCTTTCTAATTATGACATGAGCACGGAGAACAGGTGCCTACCTTCCAAACTTTCTTGTTCGTCAGACGTGTATGCATCCATCTGGCTTTGCTCCCTCAGGAAACGAATAACCGCATAAACTAGGGGCTTGACAGATGACATTTTATACGCTTAAATACCTCCTTGATTGAAAAAAGAACAAAGTATCAAGGGTCATATGCTATGTTAAAAGCAATAAAAACAAAAATTATTCGTTACCATGACTTTTTTTCTCTCTTTAGAGCGTCAGAAAAGCACAAGTTGTTACAGTTTCCACATGTTCATTCAAACCAGCACTATTAAACTATGTTAAAGCTTGCCTCAGTAAAAAGACGTTTTCAAAACGTGTGTAGCAAAGCTTAGACCTCGCTATGTCTTAACAATGTATATGATACAGATACAAGAACGTATAGGCGTGCAGACATATCAAGAATCACCCTTGAAAGGCCTTACTTCTAAGTTGAGGGAGATTTCGTACTGCTGACTCAGAAGATGAGCCAAAACGAGCATCTTCCTTTATTCCAAGAGGGTTTTTTTTTTTAAATTATATTAATAATTTACACTCCACTACTTTTGTAGGTTGAGAGTTACTTGCTGACGACAAGGCTCTGTGGAAAGACTGTTCACCCACTGAGTGTTATTGTTAATAAACGGCGTTTCTATTTAATCAACGCGCCGGTCAGAAACGTCGAAACTGAGGGATACTACAAACCGACCTGCCCTGCCTGCAGTAGCTGTGCTCTCGTGGACAAGCTGGAAGCTCCTGGCCCCGTTCATTCACATGGAATACTATGCATCCAAACAGTGGCGCAGGGCCAGGCGACATTAATGGCTTATTTCCACTAAATCGTATCAGCAATCTGCTCCCTGGGATCCCTAATTCACAGCCAGGGTGTGGTACCCGCCGCTAGGATGTTTATTAGCTTTGTACTTCTTTTAAAGGCGAGCCCAGACTCTAGGCCAGAGAGGTTATTACACATACCGACTAAGGCCCCAGGGCAGAAGCGGGGGACAGAATGGGGGCTGGGGGGAGCTGTCCAACCTCCTCCAAGCTTCCCCTCCTACACCTCCAATCACATTCACTTCCCACCCCAAGGTTCCCCCCCCCGCTATACCCAGGATTTGCCTCAGCCCAGACTCTGCTTGCAAGGGGTGCGCGGTGCAGGCCTCCATCTGGGGCTGCGGGAGACGCACCCTTTCCAGATCGAAGCCCCTTACCAGGCAAGAGGACAAAATACGACGGCTGCGGGCCCCGGGGCGTCGGGAAGCGGGGTCTGCCTGGCCCCGCGGTCCCCGGGGCTTGAGCGCTGCTCAGGATCGCAGAGCTGGCCGCGTCTCCCTAACTTCCCCGGCTCCCACGCCGCCGCCCCCTCAGCCCACCCGGCTGCTCGCACGGCTTTCGGGTGCTGGGTCTCGCTGGATCCGCCCCTGGGGCGGAGCAGAGCACCGAGGGGTTGGGAGTGGGGGCGGGCCAGGGCGCGAGGCGGAGCCGGGGCCTCTGGGCGGGGCCGGCCAGGGGCGGGGCCGGATAGGGGGCGGGGCCCCGGGCGCAGGCGTGGGGCTGCAGCACGTGGGCGGAGGGCGCTGCCAGGGCTGGCCGCCGCGTTCCGGCGCTCCGGTCTCCTGGCCTAGGCCCACTCCCGGCTCCCGGGCCCGCGGACCCCCCCCGGCCCCGTCCCGCACCCACCGGAGGACCGCGTGCCCATGCTCACCCTGTGCCTTCCGGCTGTGCGAGGCCTCCACAGGTACTCCGGTGGGCGGGTTAACCTTGACCGTGGGCAGGGTGGGGTCGTCCGTGCGCGAACTCCCGGGGCCTGGGGCAGCCCCGCTGCACCCCGGCGGTGCTTCCGGGACCGTCCTTCTCCTCCGCCTGCCCGTGGGCTCCGCAGGGACACCTGGCGCGGCCACCCGGGGCCACCTTCCCTCCCCGCTCCCCCCCGGGGGCCGGCTTTTCCCCTTTGTTTGGGATTGCTTCAGCCGCCGTCATCGAGGACGGTGGTTCGCGGACCCAGAGCAGAATAAATGCCAGCAGGCAGGCCGACGGTCCCTTCAGACCTGCAGACCCGATGGAGAGTGCCGCAGCGGAGGGCTCGGGAGGGAAGCATTTCAGGCGCTCCCCGTGCACACGTCAGCGTTCCAGGCGTTTCGTGCACCCGGGACCGCTTTGGTTTGGATACTTATTTCCGTCCTTGCTTTCTAGCTTGATATTTTCCCCCTTCCCATTAAACGTTCGGCCTCCTGCTCTGGCAGATTGACTTGGCCCAGAATCGTGGCTTGGACACGGTTTCGGGGCAGCCTAGGCTGCGGCTTTGAATCGCTCCCCGGCGCCCTTAACCACACCCCTCTGCAACAGACCAGTAGTGAGACGGTGAGAGAATGAAATTTTTTGCACGGAAGTGCCGGTTTCCCGAAACAATGCCGCTGCCACCCCCACCCCCACCCCCCATTGCCAAATCTGCTCTACACTGAAATTTCACTGAGCATTCAACAGGAAAAGAACAAAAAACAAAACAGTTTTTTTGTAGATGTAGAGGTTTCAAAACTACTTTGTAAACGTCAGCATTTCTGCTTTTGATAGCTTTCCATTGTGCTTTGCTACTCAATCTGCGTGGATCCTTGTATTCTTTAGTCCTTACGGTTATTGTGCACCCAGGGGACAGTAGAAATTTTGAAGAGTTCACGTGATGATCATTATTTGGGCTGGATTTGTTGTTGTTCTGGCCTCCACGCTGGAAGTGGCAAAGCTGTCAATAAAGCTGTACCTAGAAATGAAAATTTTTCACTTAATGGAAAAGTAAGAGGAGAGAATAAATTTCCATTATAAGGCAGCTAGCTCTTTTCCCTAACTTTTTAATATCCAGACCCCTTTACCTTTAAAAAATTGCTGAAAACCCAATAACATTAATTTTGTTGCTTATGTCTGCCCATAGTTAACCATATAAAATTAACATTGGGACATTCTTAAAGGATTAATACGTTTATCAAATAGTAATAAATACATTATGTGCATATTTTTCCATTTATCTTGTTAGTGGATGCTGGAATACAAAATAGCTTGATTTCTTCATATAACTCTACATTTAATCTGTTTCTCCATTTTGTTCTAAGAAGGAATATCTCACCCTCACATTTCATATATAGTTAGAAAGAAAAGAACATGGTAATAGCTTTCGAAGGTAACCATGGACAGTCTTTGATATCACACCCAAGTTGAAAAGATGGTGTTTGAAGGGTGAGTTGCAGAGTAGAATTGGGGCTGTGTACCAGTGTGCCCTTCTCATCTGCTACATTAAAATCCACTTGGTGTATCTTACATTTTTAGTGGAGAGTGCGCTCTGTGCAGTTTTGTAACACCGGTCACAGTTTGTTTGGAAAGTAGTGGCTGTGTTATGTAGTTCTTCTGATGTTGATATATTTTGTTATATACTGTCAATGTCACATTCCTCAGTATTATTATCCATTTTTATTAGAAGTCTTCAAATATTCACTGTGTCGGATAGGATTCTCCAAAATATTAGTTTTCACTTGAAACCTGCAATTTTATTAGTGACATATATTCTCCTAGTTTTCCTTGAAGTGACAGTCTTACTTTGTTACTTTTTTTTTTTTTTTTTTTTTTTTTTTTTTTTGAGACAGGGTTTTGCTATATAAAGCCCATGCTGGCCTTGAATTCATGATCCTCGTGTCTCAGTCCCCCAGTTGCTGAGATGACAAGCCTGAGCCCCTCACACACCTACTATCTAATATTTAAGTCAAAACAACCTGGAGTTTTTTTTGTTTGTTTTGAGTGCTGGACTTAAACCCAGAGACTGTCACTGGCTAGGCAAGCAGAATAATTCTGATTGGTTTGTCATTAAAAATAGTATTATAATCAGGCATAGCCACATATTTCTGTAATCTGAACATTGGAGACAGTAGAATCAAGGGTTGAAGGCCAGCCTAAAGTACACCCGCAAGACCCAGTCTCAAAATTATTTTCATTAAATTTTTTTAAAAATTAAAAGGCATTCCATGAAAAGAAAAAGTGACAAAAAGATATTTTGCCCCATTCACTTTCGCAGATGCTTTGATTTGGACAGCCAGTTCCTCTGAAACACCATTGTACCAGGGTATTCAGGAGTGCTGTCTTTGTGCCTGGATGTGTGTGCACACTGGAGTTTCGAGACTTAATGAGCAGTACGTAGTACCTCATCAAGAGTATCTTTTTAGCATGAGTGTGTGGCCTTGAATTTGTCTGCCAGAGGTAGTGATTTTTGAGTACAAAGATGGCAACAGTTTTATCCACCATTGCCTTTTATTACTGCAAAGGTCTGTGAGAAAATCAGTAAGCATTGGCATTATGGAAGATTCTTAACCTCACACACTCCTTGATCTCAGGGTCCTTTCTACAGTCCTACGACCTTAACATTTGCACTTGAAATGTGGAGAACTGCTTATATATTATATTTAGATTCTTCATTCATGCGTGGAAAGAAAAAAAACATGTAAAAAAGCCAAAAAATTGTTATCTTGTTAGAAACTACTTATACTGCTAGGTGTTGTGGTACGTTCCTGTTATCTCAACACGTGATAGACTGAGGAGGAAAACTGAGTTCAAGGCTATCCTGGGTTTCAGAGTGAGACCCTACCTCCAAAGAAGGGGTAGTGCTCTTAGTAATCTGCTGTAGGTACATCAGCTCTGATGCTTGAAGACATAAAGCAGGTAGTCACTGTGGGGGGCAGAATTAGTGGCTCCCATAGGCTCTTATATTTGAATGTTTAGTCATTTAGAAGTAGCGCTACTTGAGAAGGATTTAAGGTGGCATTGTTGGAGGAAATGTATCACTGGGGGTGGACTTTGAGGTTTCAAAAGCCCTCCTTTCTCTCTCTCTCTCTCTCTCTCTCTCTCTCTCTCCACTTGCGGATCAGGATAGCTCTCAGATACCACAGCTGCCTACTGCCATGCTCTCTGGCATGATGATTTTTTTTTTTTTTTTTTTTTTTTTAAATTAAATACATTTTTTTTTTGCTTCATAACTGGGTGGTTTTCTTAATTTTATTTTTATTTTTTTTTTTTTTTTATTTTTTTTTTTAATTTTTTTTTTTTTTTTTTTTTTTTTTTTTTTTTTTTTTTTTTTTTTTTACAGGTGAATTCATATTGTATTTTTTTTTTCTTTTTAGTTACATTTTGTTAACTCCGTGTCCCAGCTGTATCCCGCTCCCTCATTCCCTCCCCAACCCCACACTCCCTCCCTGGTCTCCTCCCTGCCCCTTTCCAAGTCCCCTGATAGGGGAGGACCTCCTCCCCTTTCATCTGTCCCTGTTTTATCAGGTATCTTCAGGGCTGGCTGCAAAGTCCTCCTCTGTGGCCTAACAGACTGCTCCTCCCCTGGGGGGAGGTGTCAAACAGCCTGCCCTTGAGATCCTGTTAGAAATAGTCCGTGTCCCCCTTACTTTGGAAAACTACTTGGTTACTGAGCTACCACAGGCCACATCCGAGCAGAAGTTCTAGGTTATATCCATAGATGGTCCTTGGTTGAGTTTCAGTCTCAGAAAAGACCCTGTGCCCAGATATATTTGGTCCTTGTAGAGCTCCTATCCTTTCCATATCATACTAACTTCCCTTCTTTCATATGATTCCCTGCACTCTGCCGAGGGTTTGGTTATGAGTCTTAGTGTCTGCTTTGAAACACTGCTAGGTAGAGTCTTTCAGATGCCTTAAAAATATGGAACGCTTCACGAATTTGCGTGTCATCCTTGCGCAGGGGCCATGCTAATCTTCTCTGTATCGTTCCAATTTTAGTATATGTGCTGCCGAAGCGAGCACTCTGGCATGATGATAATGGACTAAGCCTTTTAAACTGTAAGCTAGCTCCCAGTCAGAAGCTTTCTTTTATGAAAGTTGCCTTGGTCATGGTGTCTTTTCGCAGCAATAGAACAGTCACTAAGTCAGTCATCATTTACAGAAGTAGTCCTTAACTTTGGACCTAGTTGACATAATACAGAATCTGTTATGTATCGAACTCTGTAGCCTCCCAAAAGAGTTGATGTTGAACAACATGGGAGGCTCTGAGTTCTCCATTTACTGTTTATTCTGGCACTTCAGTTTTTCTGGGCTAGGTTTTTTACTTGACAGAGTAATTGGCCAAGTAGCTATTGTTGTTCCAAGACAGCTTGGCAGGTAGGATGGTTGGTGGGAATATCAGTTCTATTTCTTGGGAATAAACCTGAAGGGTAGGAACCTGAAGGGTAGATTATAAATTGTCGTTGCTGTAAAGCAAGCACTTAGCACTGTGCTGTGTCCACAGAGCTATGTCTCCTGTCTTTGATTTTGTTGTTGCTGAGACTGGGTCTCACTATGTAACTCAGTCTGGCCTTGGATTTGCCCTGTAGCATTTTGCATCCTCCTGTCTCCTCCTCTGCTCTAGTGCTAGGAATTACACTTATGCATTACCTTGCCAAGCTTAAATGTTTTTAATAATTCTTTCTTTTTTAATCCTTAACTTTCTTAGTGTAAGGTCTTAGAAATTGAATTTGTAAATCAAAGGGCATACATAACTTTCAGGTCTTTGGTCCTTATATTCTTTTCTAAAAAAAAATCTACAAGCCAGGTAGATGGCTCAGAGGGTAAAGTTTGCCCTGTAAGCATGAGGAGCTGAGCTTGATCCGTTGCACTCATGGAAAGGCCAAGCTCCGTGAAGAGTGTCTGTAGCCCTATCGCTAGGGGCAGGGCAGTTGGAGGGGACCAGGTGGGTCTCCAGAGCTC